TTTTTCCCCTACAATTTCTACCTAAACTTCCGATTTTCACGTTTCAGAACATTTGTAAATAACAAGTGCACAGTTTTGTTTCTTCTTTCTGATTCAATTATCACTGTAATTTTTTGATTTGTTTCCAATGAAATCCCCAACTGTATATGAATCAGTTACGTATCTAAGCGGATATATCAATCATAAAGTTGAAACTTGGACCTGGATTGTGTTACCGCACAGGATGTTCTGTGCACTCCACATCCTAATATGCTGGTAATTAGACATATTAGATAACACCATGGTAGGTGTAGCTCTATGTGGAATAAAACATGCCGCAGATCATCTCCAATAGGTCTAAAACACTAATCAGATACCCCTGGACTGTCTTGTTTGGATATATACCAAAGATAGCATGTTTACCGAAAGTTTCTTGCCTCTTAGCAATATTACTAACAGATTGAGCAGCATATATATACTTATTCCAACCTGGTTTTGGACTACTGATGAAACCAATTAACTAACAGGTAAAATCAGTCCCACCGACCAGTATTTAACCTCATCTGTTATGCCTGATCTACCATAGTAGGCAAGCATAGAAAAGATATGAAAAAAACGTAAATTTAGTTTAGTACTACAACCATAAACTAGATACTATGTGTTTTTGGCAGGAAGTAACAAAAATATGGCTGAATTAGGGCTATGGGTTACACTCCTACAGGTGAGGCTGAAAATACAGGTTTGCAAAAATAAGAAAACCTGACAGACATCATGTTCTTCAGAACTTCTTGGGATTCTCCTTTCCCTTAAGAAGTTTGAGAGGAAAACATTTTCTTGTCAGAAAATCAATATGGACCAATGTTTCCACTCGTAGAGTTTAGAAAAAATAACCCATACCAACATCCAACACATGGACATTAAACTTATGGCAAGATTTCCCCTGAGGGCCAAAATAGTACCCCTCATACATATTCCACATTTTATTTTGATAGTTGCTGGTAATGTCAATCTGTTATGCTGTTTAATAGTAGAAATATGCTAGTATGCCTGACCTGGTAATTCAAAAGTTCTGTACTGTTTGGTCAAAATGTTAAGAGAGAGGCCTTTTCTTCATAGCAGATTCTAAGCATAAGATAATTATACCATACCTTTATGACAAGTCAACTGTATTTGTAAGCAGCAAATTAAAAGTAGATTGTTGTACCTCAACCCTGTTACTTTTAGTTTACAACAGTGAAGAATCAAACAACTTTTTTTTTATCTGCCTGTAAGAAACCATCAACCCAATATACAATAACTGAGAAAAGAACACAACTAATTAAATCCTTTACTAAATGCTCATTAATTGCTATAAATATGTTGAAACATATGAAGTGTGATGTTCAGGTACAAGTCACTTTGCTCTTTGCTCACCAAATAGTGGTAATTACCATCATAGTTATGCTGTGGAATTTTTGAGGTTTGCACCTGTCCTTCTGCCCTTCAGGAAATGTAATGATGTGTGCAAGTTACTTGTAGGTTGTCCTTTTAATCAGAGGCCATATATGAAGATGAAAAGCTATCCTGCGTCAGAGCGAAACCATAGTTGATGGAAGCCCTTCAAAATCTGCCAAAGACTGTGACGAATTTGCTCAATGTCACCATAGGTTTATTTTGATAACAACTTTTTTCTTGGAAAAAAATGTTTATAATTTGCACAGGGGAATGTGTTGCTGAAGTTACATTACAATACATATATGCATTATATATGTAATATATTAAAGTAGGAATTAGACACAAGAGTTAATCATGACAACAGGCAGTTTCTCAAAATATCTACCAGCTGCAACTATTTGATAGTCCAAGCAACATCTTCAGTGACTCCTTTTTTTCCTGAAACTCATGTTTTAATCAATGCTCCTAAATCTATATATAATCATGTACCCGCCTGTCTAACGCCTACACATGAAGTGACATCGATAGGAACACATGTGCCAGTATGAGTGTGTCAATTACATATCAGAGGCAGCACAAGGATGAGAAAAATTGGTTTGCCAGCAAAAGCAAACAGCTGAAAATCCATATTCCCACATCAACTGCTTGAGGGGTGAGAGAATTCCTTGAAGAATTTGATAGCCATGTATCTTGTGAACATTTTCACAAGAATATCAAATATGAAAGCGTCAATTTTTAATTTCAGTTCATTAGTCACATGCTTTTTTCCTGGTTGTACATTCATGTCCTTAAATGTAAAATCATGGCATCTAACATATTAACAGAAAAACAGTAAATCTCTCACAGAAACAGTAAAATGTATCACCTCAAATGTAGAAGCAAGTATGCAACATAGCAGGAAGGGGGGGGGGGTTTATAGCCAAATGGCATCATGCCTTGGCAAGGTGTACTCTGCTGGCTGGGGATATAATTGTCAACAACAAAATGACATCTTGAAATATCACTAAATCACTCTTTGTAAATTAAACCTAGCAATCCCAGGATAGACTCATCAATTATTTCTTTCACTGTTATTGCCAAACAGCAGACCCTGTTTTTCGGTAGATATTCCACTTGACGCCAATAAAAAAATTAGATTTTAACAATGGGCAAAAACAGCCTAGAAAAGGAACAGACTGACAGCTGACTCTATCTGCAAGTCTATAATCCAATAAAAACTAATCCTCTTTTAAGGTTAAAGAATTATGGTGATCAAAGAGACAGATCTGAAGGTGAATGGCACAGGACCATTTTTCTATGTTTACCTACACACAAGATTGATGTGTCAAACATTTTGTGAGCTATTAAACCACTTAGAAAACTAAGCTGAGACCTAAACTGATGAAAATAAATATTAAACAACCTTTTGTTGGATTATGCATCATCGACCTATATTAGTAGAAAATCAATGGTTTAATCCTGCTTAGTCAATGGTTCATTTTGGAAGTGAGGTATGAGCAGTGACAAACTTGATCAGCAACCAGCTAGGCAACTGGTTCTATGGCAATGAGTATAAAAGAGAAGTCCTGAATATATCTGTTCCCCCTTAAGCTTTTAACAACTCATCTTGGCCCAAACTGTATATTGGTTAGCCAAAGAAAAATCTTAACTGTCTACCATATCTCACTCCCAGCATCTCAAAAACAAGAAAATAAAATACCCAAGGTTATCAAGTAAAAGCAAATAAGATGAGATAATATTAGAGAATATAACTCTGCACTGACGTCAAACGCCCAGTTTTTTGGTTAAGGGAAACCATGTGGCAGTCTGCAGTAACTGTACTAAAAGGAAGGATACACAGGTTGTCTGTGGGCAGTCACAGAGTGGGAGTTCTCTACTTACACAGTTGAAAATATGTGGTCAACACTTTGTCAGATGTACTTGCCAATTTTCTTGTGTGTTTACTCATTCAAGCCCTTTTACCCCAAGTATTATTTTAGCTACAGGTAATGTTGTTTTCCTAAATACTCCTATTACCTTCTAAAAAGACTGATGTTCAAGGTAGAAATGGATATTAAGTAGATACCTTTGCCTTTTAGAGGACTTGAAACACTTTTGTTATATATATATATATATATATATATAAAATACCAGCTGCAGGTTGGAATATCCTAATAGTTAACATTTTTTTTATTCCAACAAGATGATTCTTCTGAGGATGACTCTATGTGCAAACTGTATATAAGAGCATAACCTAACATGACAAGTGACTTCTGACCATGTAAAAAATGCTCCTGATAGAAAGACCACCTTTGATTTTCCTTAACCAAGTAATCAAATTTGGTGCCACAGTAAACAAATAATTTCGGTGATCTTTAATATTCATTGTACACAATCAGCTAATGTAAAGTTTAATTTAAAAATATTGCAAGCCCTATCCAACAACAAAAATGAACATATTCATCCCACAGTAAACTTGTTAACATCACTGCATTAGTTGATAATACCAAGAATGTATTACCAACAATGTTCAACCAAAAAGCATTTTAGAGCAGTTTTCAAACATAAATTTCATGCCAATTTATGCCTGAAATGTTGTTAAATAACACTTCAGTAGAAAGATTTAAAGATCAAAACATTAAACCTCACAGGTATGAAAAATGAACATTACATCTGAGAAATAATCCACTTTAGAGAACATTTTCCAGGCCAATTTTGGCCATTTTGATTGACCATTCGTTATAATATGTTCTTTTAATTATATATTTTTGAAAATCCCAATAAGAGTTCACATAATGTGTGGAGTATGTTCATCCAATTGTAAAGCAACATAAAAGGTCCTGGTCTGAAACTTGATATGATCATTATATGCTATTTTTAGCAAATCAGGAAAGCAGAAAGTCAAAGCATAATATTTAAACTCTAAATGCTGCTACATTTTAGTCTCCATTTTGCATTAACAAGTTCAAGTGAGAGACTAGGCAAACATTGCACAGAGTTAAAAGTAACAATCTAAGTCAGCTGGTAAACACATTCTTTACATAGTCATTTGCATAGGAATGAAATCGTATCAACATTGTCTTCCAAACAGATAGAACTCCAGCTGTCATTACTGAAATGGATATTTCAATATTGTCTCTATCATGCATTGGTTGTCACTGTTATCTTGACAGAATTGTAAATCTCTCTATCACTCTGATTTTGTAAATCAAAAGTGGCAGATAATGAAGAACAAATTTACAGATGAGAACATAATTGGACTAACAGACAAATACAAAGCATTACCACCATTTTTAAGAACCATGTACTTACTGCACACTGTGAACAGCTATATGTCACTGGCCACTTCACTCTGGACGTGGTGTCTATCAGCTGGACAGAAGAAAGTAAGTGACCAAACCATAGGAGTGACCAATACCAATACGGGGCATCCACCTTCTTCCTGCACGCCTCCTTTCTGCCAAGGCCTGAAAATCCCATTTTGGAACTCTGTCGGGCTGAAATTTCCACAATCTAGCAGATTTTGTTTTCCACAAAATCTTACATCCCATTTCTGCACACCATCAGCTGGAAATGGCATATCCCACATCATACTTTTAGTCCTTTTCTTTTTTGGTGTTTGTTACCATAAAGTAGTTGCCCTCCTTATGGTATCAAAGGACAGCACACTTGGTCCTGTGACATTGTCTCTTCAGAATACACCATTGTTGGGGCCATTTCTTTCACCTGTACCATCGCTGCTTTTAGTCTGCCACAACCATTAATCTTCCATAGACTACCTTGTTTCAATAGAGTGCTACATCCCAGCAGATGTATAATTTCAGATTTTTTTAAAATTAATCTATGCACTTAGTATGGCATGTCTTATTGATATCATTCTTGCCAACAGTCATCTCCATAATCCATGATCGGCAGAAACATGAAGTCCATGGCATCAATCTTCTTTGCCTACAAACACAAGAAACAAGAATCTTCATTACTGTGAATACAAAATAACTGACCAAACAAATATACAATGTCAAATTGACTTTTAAAAAAGTGGAGATGGTCCACTTTATCACCAACATGTAGAATATGCACTTTCTCACAATTCTTTCAGTTACAGCATCTGAACATGAAAAAAGTAATTATGAATTGATGCATTGATTTTGAAACTTTCAAAGAATATTCCTCATAGCCCTGAAAGTAATAAAACTTATAAAAATGATGAGCTGTATGATCTAGATAATAATCCGTCATAGGATATGCCATCATAGGTACTATGCTCATTTGAAATAATGGGGAAAAAGCCAAACTATTATGCTGGCTCTATTTGAATTATAAAATGTAATACTGTATTCTCTCTTTTATTTATTCACTATTCACATCCTCCCACTTAGCATATCTGTGAAAACAAGAGGGTATTTTTACTCTCACACCTGGGATGCATCTAACAGCTCTATGTGGTGCATCTATCATGCAATCTTCTCTCTCTTGCCTTGGGTATGCATGCTATTACTATTTCTGACCTAAAACCATAGCGCACTTTGTCTTAAACTTAATCGGGTGCACAACCTGAGAGGACAGATGAATGGAGAACTTTTTGCACTTTTACCACAACAAATTTTATTTAAAAAGTAACCTATTTTATTATACTAAACAAGAAACAATACAAATAATTGATTGCATATTTCGTAAAAATTCATTTTTGTGAATTAAGTGTTTCATAAACCAAAATTATCAATCCAACATAATTCAACACATTTTCCATCGAGTTCCTGTCTTAATCCTTGAAGAGACCCATTGCATTGTTTTACATTGCCAAAGATGTCATCGGTATGCAGAAATGGCAACTGTAGCATAGCACCAGACCTACTCCAATAGAAGATCAATACCCACTGCAAGCAAGCCGGTGTCTTATTGATTATTATGAGATGGGTTAGCATGTAGTTTATCTGTGTGGGTCAGCCCAGCTTCACTCCATCAGTGATGTGTATTAGAAGGAATAATTATACTCATCTTTTCATCATGAAAAATGTGAAGAAACTGTTACATGGGCATTTTCACTGGGCCTAGAAGACTATTTGAATTTCCATCTGCACTTTTTGCTCTGAGTAATACAAAAACTTTGTCCAAGAAAAACAGACCACAGTATCCATCATCAACATCCATATTCAGGGGTTTAACATTCCTGGCAATGACCCTGGTCTCTGTAAGTGTGAGAGTTTGTAAGTTGGATGCATAGTCTTATTCCCCAGATGGTCTATCTTCAGTGATCTGTATGTGTTTAACCTGTGGCTATTTACACACCACCACCTGCATACCACACCATCAATACCAATGCTGCAGCATATCAATACAACCAACACATGGTACCAGAACCAGCAAGGATGATTCAAAATCGAAAAAATTATCTCATTAGACCAAGTTAAACAGCTTTGTCTTTTCTGTCACTCACTGGCTTTCTATCTTTAAAATCTCATGCTTTCTGGAGACATTGGCAAACCACAGGAATGCTACTTTTAAATCAAAAATGTCTTAAAAATAGAATAAGAACCATTTTACTCAGAAAACACATTTTAAAAGTCAAATTATTGATTGTGCTTGTATCACCAGTCATAGTGCGTAATAACCATTCTCAATTAAACAATGTCATTTATTATCAAGTGTTGAACAATTTTTATTAAAAATCAAAATCAAAGAAAGCACAGTCAGTATCTTCTTTATATCCATCTCATTTCTGTGGATTAAATATTTAAAAGGTACCATAGACATACCTCCCCCCTTAGTTAATGGACCTAAACACACCCTGTATTGACTAGTTTAACTCAAGCTATTGATCATATTCATTAGGTCTGAGTCAAAGTTTTATTGATTCTCCACACAGTAAAATCCGGTTGCCTTCCATCTCTCCTTTGAATCAGGAGGTAATAAGTATTCTACTCTTTACACTAATTTGTCTTGAAAAATGAGCTTAAACTAGTGTATAAGACATCTTCTGCTATCTTTAAAGCATTTTTCAAAATAAGGAGAAAATGAGACACAAGGATATTCCATTCTTGCAGTGCCTGATGTTTTCCTCTTGTTCACTTTACCTTTTATTTCTGGCGGTATAAACCTCCAGCCATTTTCACCAGTGTCGCAAAGGTGTAACAGCAAACATGGCAAATTCAGCACACATACTTACCGTTCTAGTAAACACTGTGCATCTGTTCTTAGTAACGTTTTGCTGTCATTGAACCACTGTCCCTTTAATAATATGAAACAGCATTTTTTAAAAAAGTTTCATGCATTAGCACAACATCAAGTGAGATTTTGCAGGATTTTGGGAAGAGAAAATAAATGGCATCAGAAATAATGGCAAACTAGCAAGTGTGGTGAAGCAATGGATAAATGGTGACAGAATCCAATCATGGAACATTCTGGTTATTTTCTCCTAAATTCTGCCATATTACAGACTATTGAACAAAAGTTCCAATTCTTGGTGCATAGTTTCACTCTTATCACCTAAAAGCTAACCCCACCACATTTTCTCCCATTATCACAGTCTTGTATGAATTGTCATGCAATGCTACAAGTTTCTTTTAAGGCTATCTAGGATGATGCCTACTGGCAACAAACACCTGACAACACAAGGTTTTACAGTGGCTGGGCTTTTGGAGAGGCATATATTAGCTGCAACACCTGTGAAATTGCACCAATTAACCTAGAAGAACAGGAAGGAATGACTATCCATTGTAACATGTATGCCTATGTAACAAGTTTTATCAGAAGGAATCTGCTCCTTATCCTCATGTTCTTTGAGATTTAGTTATGGGGTCAACTCCAAGGTGAAATTTGAAATTTGCACATTACTTCCAATTAAACTCCATTAGTTAATACTGCCCAATTATCTTTTGTAACAGAAATATAATAACTATTATAATAACTTAAAATATAATAGACTAGAAGCAGACAGTTTGTCCTATCTAATTAATGTTACTCTCTAAAGGTGGAAATATAGAACTGTCATTGCCCTAACCTTCTGATTTTATTCATACTAATGTACCAAGGCACATAACGTCTTTATAATGCAAATAATTAAATTATCATCCCTGCTGAAAAATTTCATTTTCACGCAAAGCAAGGAATGTAATGTAACAGTACACTATAAGACTAAGGTTAAACCACATGCAAACTATTGCGGTCTTTCAGTTGTATATTTATAGAATATTTTTTAATTTGAAGCTTCTTAAATTAATGAGATGGATGGAAGCCAGAAAACTCTCAAATACCAAGTTTATTTGTATCTGCAATATGATGGTGCCTCTTTTGCTTATATGGTTTAAAAATTTTTTCTAAACGTCAAAATATTCTAAAGATTTGAGTTTGATCATCACAAAATAATTGGCATAAAGACCATAGCACCTCACAACATCATAACAAGTATTCTTTCATCCAGTATACACAAATGTTCTATGAAAGTGTTCTACAAATTAATATTTCATATTGTATTCAATACTTTTAATGATATTCATTTATTGAGAAAGATCAGGTAATCAACATTCCTACAAATAAGAGACCCATCAAAGTTAAAACTGATAACAGAATTCGTATTATCACTCAAAAATCTACTGATACTTTGGATTCATACAGTCATTCTACTTTAAATAATTTTTTCTTGTAAAATCACAAATAATAATTTTACATAAACCAGAACCCAAGAACCTGGTACTAGAGTACTAACTTATTGTCAAGCCACTCAAAATACATACACAGATAAGACCAGGTTGTCTCAGGACCAATATTTCCCAACAGGCCACAGCAGGTAATGATAAATTTTAATCAGAAACTGTGACTAATTTGAACAACACATCCTCAGTATTTTTCGTAGCAATTTTTTGATTCTGTTTTTCTTAATTGTGTTTATTTTTTCAACATGTAAGAATACCATATTATGCACTGAAAACTTTCAGAAAGAGAGGACAGAAAGAAGTCTAAAGAAACAAATACAATATATAAAAAGTCATATCAAAATATACCTGTAAATGAAGATGATGAGAAAAATGCCAGAAATACGTAAAATTAGGTCTCATCTAGGCTTTTTTTAGGATGGCAATTACACCAAATATTTGGCCATAATTGAATAATGCCAAAGCTAAATGTAGGGGAATGAATGCTGTTACTATTCTCTGCCTACGTCAGCTGTGGTAAACGTTGTGCAAAATGTTGTAATAAAAAAATTCACATTTACGCAATCTCAAGAGGGGAATAAAGGCTTTTTTCAAAGGGGAGTCAATCGCCTGATAACAGTTGTTTATAATGATTAGAGAGTTTAACATTCACCTGCTACTGCTTGCCTTATTCACTCTGTCTCTTTCCAAAACACACACAGAATAACAATTTCATGCTAGACCATCCCCATTCTAATATTAACAGCAGATGCTACTGAATAAGCCACTTTAAAATAGCATCTGGTCAAAGTTATGTTTCTATAAACCTACATACTGAGATCTGATAAAAATGGGAATGCGTTCACAGAATGAATAATTTCCTTCCTATGGGAGAAGTTGCTGCCTTACAATTCAGGAAAGATGATGTATTCCTTTCATCAGAATATCTGCACGCATTTCTCCCCTTTTCATCATTTATATTCATTAGCACGATAATTAGCTTTACCTTCAACATTTTCACCATATAAAAAATGGAACTCATTTAAATATGATATTTTGTTCAGACCTACAGGAATTTGACTCTCCAACTCCATATAATTATCTAACAACTGGCATTAATATGAAGACTGCATGTTTGGAAAAATGGGACTATGGTTTAGTTTTTAAACATTTATTGTCAGATAACATATAAAAACTCGTGGTACTTCATGAGATTTCTTTCTTTGAGAAGGTTCCAAATTTTCAGTATGTTTGTAGAAGACAATTCCATATGTTGAACCCAAATACCTTCAACATACCTTTTGTCCAGTCAATTATAAAAAACACTTAAGGAAAAAATATAAAATAAAATAAAATTATTGTTAAATGACAAGACTTATTCAATGAATAAAACAATCTGAAAAGAAGTCCATTTCAATACCTGTAACCATTCAAAATTTACACAGGAATTTATTAGACAGTTTCATAGTACTCATCATCATTTCACCTTAAAAATATGCAACAAGTGTTTCGGGTTTGAGTGAAGTAAAGGGCATATCAAAAATATAACCACTCCACCTGCCCATCATCTGGCATCCCTGGTATTAAAAACCAGGTTATCACAGTAATCAAGAAGCCTTTCCCAGATCTCAGCTACGTCAACTGTCCAGCTCTTGATTTAGCAATCTAAACACACCTCAAGGAAACCAGGAGTGCGGCTTTCACCTTTCCTGTAAAGGATGAGCACCAGAGCACAGCAGGACATCCAGTATCTTCAGAAGAAATAAAGTATGGGGGTTAGGTTGTACAAGGTGCCAGCACAGCACCTTGTACATGTATGTAGGCATGTAAAATCCATACGGAAAACTCTTTAAAAACATCAGAGGCTCAGAGGGTGACCCTCTTTTGCAATTATATGACCAAATAATCACTTATTTGATTGTGGAAATACACAACCTCTTACAAGGAACAGGTGACTACTATTTATTGCTGTTAAATGTTTCAGTTTAACAAGTGCATTTTGTTCTTAGTCATGAATCTTTTATGACCAGGACTTTATTCAATAACCAGAAAAAAAGATTGTCTGAAAAAAAAATAGTATAACATCTATCAAGAAAAACTGCACGAATTAGCCTGAAGCATGTGAAAATACTGGTAGTATTTTATATAACAGTTATCATGAGGAAAAACGACCCAAAAAAGATTTCAGTCCTTCAAAGTGAAATGCTCAGGTCTAATCACTTAACTCAGTAAAGAAAGAGAGTGAATATTGTAGGAAGCTCCATCTACCTTGGGGTAACCAATGCTTTTGTCAATATACTTAACAATAAACCTGGAATAGATCTTTTAACTCAATTGATCTTAAAGAACAGTGCTTGCTTCATTTGCAACACTGGAGCTAACTACATTAATTCAATTGTGAATTTCCTCACTGAATTCTACCAAGGAGATTTTATTTTCTCAAAAAGTCAGGCTGGGAATTCCAAATGAGATGTTTTTTATACAACACACACTTTTAAATGCAGAATCAACATAACTCATTTCTTCTCAATCCATCACATGAGACAGTTATTCTATTACGGGAACATTTTATTAGGTTCTTCATTTACTATCCCAAACCTTTTCTCTCAACAATCCATTTTTTAATTCATACTCTATGACCTCTCATGCTGCATATATCAAAACCAAAATGTATTTGAAGATAAAAAAAGGAGCCTGTTAAATAATAACAAATACCACCCCCATAATATATTGATGGTATTGTTAGAACATTTATTGAACTTTAGACAATAAATAATGCTATATACCTGTCTAAATGCCAAAAAATGTTCTAACACCCTTCTATTAGTATTTAAAACCAGCAAAATTTCCACTTTCACAGAGCTTATATCTGTTAAACATGCTTTAATTAAAATTGGTATCAAACATAACTACTGAGTTTTAGTCAAGTCAGAGTCCATATTGGTATTTTATGACCAGCTTAAACTGTTTCAAACATTGCAACCTTGTAAGCTCACTTGGGCACTTTTCATATAAATTGCACAGATTGTACTAAAACTATTATTTTAGTTTAAGACCCCATTCCCAGAGATTAGATCGATCCAACTAGATCGACCTAACTCCCTGGGGGTTCACGCTAAATAGCTGTCAGCCGAGCGGGCACGAAAGTTAATTACCCCTTTACAGCTTGTAGTAGGCGGGACGGACATTTAAGCCAGATTATCTGACAGTAGTCTAGTGAGACTCCCCACGGGGATAGATCGATCTAAAATCTATGGGAATGCACCCTAAAGTCGATATGTACATAAAATGGGCCTCATCTGAAAAACAGAAAAACAATGCTTCCAACACTGCAATGTATTTATTAGGAATATTTGGGCATGGCCTAAATTAAAAAAAAAAGGCAGTCATGGTTAAAATGTGGTTTGTTTGCCAATGATGCTTATGAACCCAAAGTAATCAGGAATTAGCTTCATGAAATGTTGCAATTTTTTCGTTTCTAATTTATATGAACAGGGTATAAAATACTATTTTAAGAACTTTTTTCAAGCCAAGGTATAAACATTTGACAGGGTTATTATGTATTTATGTGTGAGTAATCCTTAATAAAAAAAGGTATTTGAAGACTGCATGCAGTAAATAATGAGAATGACTGACAAATAAAAAAATGCTCACTATGTAGAATATAAGCAGTCAACATTGCCTGGATAACCCATGTGTTAAATTATCTTGTCAACCAAGCAAAACATCACAGTTAAAAAACGGTAGCCCTAGCCCATAAAAAGCAGTAACTCTAAACTTCATCAAAACAAATTATCAAAGGAGGAATAACTTTCTTGTAAAATATGACAATTCTTACAAGTAATCAACTTCAACAAAATATCTTTTTTCAGTTGAGATATACCTCACTCCTTGCATAATTTATATTTTTTCAAAAATGTCAACTTAAGAGTGGCAAATACCTTAAGTCCTGAACATAGGCAAGATTGGCTATTGATTTTTAAAAATTACTAACCATCTCTGTTGTCTTCATAATTCATAAACAATCCAATAAGTTCCAAAGAAAAGTGTCACAAGTAAAAATATGTATTTCAATAACAAAAAAAAGGGACAAAAAATGGAAAAATAATACATAAATCTGATGTTGGACAAATTATATAAATCTAGAATATCTGCAAGATAGCAACACTATTTCTGATCTATTGCATGTTGCAATTCATGTAAACATTTCATTACACTGCTTTGAAGAAACTGTTTGAAAAGGAATAAACATTTCAGCGAAACTTTCTCAAAAATGCTTTAATTCAAAAGAACTCTAAAAAAAATCCAATGTTTCCACAGTTGGGACCAACATGCTGGCTATCAGCCATACTGAGTTTATTTTTTCCTTGGCTTCCATTAAATAAAATGTCACAGAGCTGCAATTTTGTGATGGAAGTGATAACAAATACCCAAGTGTCCCCTGACATTAGTTTTCCATGGGACATCTGGATTATTTAAAGTTGTCTGTGCATTGGTTAGCCAACATTTCAATATTTTATCTAATTATAGAAGAGAGCAGGAAGAATGGGATGAGGGCTTCATGCTGAAGTGAAATTTTTCTTTCGGAAAATGATACTGCTTTCACTTCATTTTATGCTTCAAAGCACACTTGTCCTTTTTTCAGGGATCAATTCCTGTGAAATTCTGATTTACTCAAATAAAACTTGAGAGAAATAGCTGAAATAAACTTGTAAGAGTGTTAGCATGAGGGATAGCAGTAAACAGGTAGATTTATGACACATGCCAACACACAGAATTCTATTCCTTTCTCTTTGCTAGTCGCTTCAGTTACTAAACTTAAAAGTAACGTCATACAGTATGGGACAAGCCAAATAACTTCAGGCTGACACATCATATTGTCATACGTCACAATTTGTGTCAGTGTTCACCAATGCATTTATAACACTAAATTTAGGTACATATACATAGGAGTATATTGGTACCCATGGGTTAAGCCCAAAATGCAAAGTAAGAACTGAAAAAGTGAAAAAATATCAAGCACGATCCATATCTTTGGAAGACAATATCTAATAAACAAACAACTGAAAAACAAACTTTGTCTGCAAAAATAGAATTCAGTGCAAATAAAAAATAATAAATAAACACCAATGTTAAATATTCATTCAATATAATTCAATTATTTTACTTGTACAAAGAAACTATACCTCTTTCACTATTTAACTCTATGGTGTAATGTTTTAATCTATACTTACCAATTTCACTTCACTGTAAGGTTGGTAGTAAGGTGTGCATTATCAGGGCATTTTACCCATGGGCAAAATCCTGTTGGATTTAGTCAGTTAGTGACCTTTATTGCATGGACTTTGGGACCTTCATACTTGGTGTGATGATGGTGGAGTTGGGCCTAGCATCATGGGGTCTCTTAATTCAGTTTGTATGGATAGGCTGAGCAGGATGATAACCAGGCTGTCTCTAGCTCTCTGTGTCTTGCAAGTTCCATACTCAGGGCTCTAGAGGAAATCAACTGCATCGATCCAGTCATTAGAGATTTCACATACCGTTGCTGTAAGGCCTGTAGGCTTTTGTGTAATTACTGATAAATCCATGGAAATAGGATTAAGAACTACCGATAGACAACCGAAGACCACCTTCCATTGAAGTAAATGTGCAATTATGTGCTGTTTGCAAAGCAAAAAAACAGTGTATCTGTATGTGTATACTATCAAATCATGAAGACTTTTCCCATGTAACATAAGGGGTTACTGTAGTCAGTGTCCTATTTGGCTGCAGAGCATTTTTTTTTCAATTCAAAGTTTCAATATCACTTTCATTTGTGCATCAAAATTGGGGAGCAGTCAGGCAATTGTTCATTCGAAATGAGTCAAATTCTTGCATATGTGCACAATAAAGGTAACTGTCTTTATAAGGAGAAAAGTGATTAATTTGAAGTTATATCTGTCAAAAATGTTACTGACAAGGGGGTAACTTTGCATTAATAAAATTTTAACATCCCATCCCACTGTTAGCATCAATACTATCTTTTAGCTATTTTAAATAGCCAGATACTTCAAATTAACAGCATACATGTATGTTGACTTCTCTCATTAACCAACCTAAATAAAGAACATGTAATCAACTGAACTTGAATCAACTGTCAAGCAGAAGTCAACCAACATAATGCAAATTAAGACATAATCCCAAAGTTCCCAATTACGATCCTAGTCATACATCAGTTTCAATGCTCATGTTATTAGCATCATTGGAGAGATTGGCATGGTTTTGTTTTGTCTGTTTGTCCAAACCTGTAGTCAATGCCATACCCTCTTCCATTTCCATTATGTCTGATTCCTCATCATCCTCATGATCTGATGCATCCGATGAAGCAGTTTTTCTTCTTGGGAAGTTGGGGCAAGACTGAACATGTACATATGCTTGCTGCTTGTCTTCATTTTCAGTCTCTCGGTGGTAGAAGTAGTTGAAGTTGGAAACAATAACAGGGACTGGGAGTGCAATTGTTAGCACACCAGTAATAGCACACAGAGAACCAACCAGCTTTCCCCACACACCTATAGGCCTCATATCACCATAACCTACAGTGGTCATTGTCACAACAGCCCACCAGAATGCATCTGGTATACTCTTGAAGTGTGATGCATCTGAGTCCGCTTCTGCAAAGTACACAGCACTAGAGAAGAGTATGACTCCAATGAATAAAAAGAAAATGAGCAGACCCAATTCTCTCATACTAGCTTTTAGAGTCTGTCCTAAAATTTGCAATCCTTTTGAGTGTCTGGATAGTTTGAATATTCTGAAAACTCTTACCAATCTGATCACCCTCAAGATTGCTAATGACATTGCTTGATTGTTCTGTTGCTTCTTCTGAGGTTCTGGAGTTTCCTGTTCATCTGCAATCACTGTGCCAAGTGTAATGAAATAAGGGATGATGGCAACTATGTCTATAAGGTTCATGATGTCTTTAAAGAAGCCCAATTTCTCTGGGCAGGAAGCAAATCTTACAAGTAGCTCAGATGTAAACCATACTATGCACCCTGTCTCTATAATAAAGAATGGCTCACTGAATTTTGGTATGTCATCCTCCTCCAGAGTATGCCCAGTGCCATTGATGGTTGTATTAACAACCCTGTAGTGTTTGAATTCAGGTAGAGTTTCCAGGCAAAATATAACAATGGATAACAAAATGATTAATACTGAGAAAATTGCAATAATACGTGCTCCAAGGGATGTCTCTGGGTATTCAAAAAGACACCAGATCTTTCGCTGTATTTTGTTTTCAGGAAGCACTCGCTCCTCTTCTTTGATGAAACCCTCATCCTCTCGGAATTTTGTGATTGCCTCTTCTCCTAATTCATAGAACTTGATTTCTTCTGAGAATACATCCAAAGGTACATTGACAGGCCTCCGTAGTCTTCCTCCACTTTGATAATAATATAATATGGCATCAAAGCTAGGCCTGTTTCTGTCAAAAAAGTATTCGTTTCTCAGGGGGTCATAGTACCTGTTTCTTCTGGCTGGGTCTCCTAGCAGTGACTCTGGAAATTGGCTAAGGGTCTTGAGCTGTGTTTCAAAGCGCAGACCACTTACATTGATGATTACACGTTCACAGCACTCATACTCAGTGTTCCCCTGCAGCTGTGAGTCGTCCTGGTTTGGAGCATCGTCGTCTGGGCCGATTCTCGGGAAAGACCTGGAATTTGGAAGAGAGGGACGATTCAGATGAGGTTTCTGATTCATATAAGGCGGCGGTCCCCCATTCCCCTCCACTCCAGCCATAGCGACCTCCATCCCGCTTACTGGCTTGCGGTGAGGCCTTATCACGGGGGTAAACCCCCACTTCTCAATAAAATCTAGCCTCGAAATTTTGATAATGTCGTTTCACAGTCTTGCAAGCCTTCTGCTCTCTGCAAGATGGCTTCCACAAAAATAAGGGATAGCCCGGATGAATATTATTCTTTGACGTCACCTATGCATCCCAGTAAAACTGCATTGTCAATAGAGGCTACTGAACAAATTTGAGCTACTAAGTCCAATATTTCATGGCTGAAAAATCAATACAATCGTCGTGGCAACTGGGCCATTCACACCGCAAGATCTGCCATTAGCGTATGAATATTGACCAGAGCGAGGCTGGCAGGTGCCCTAGAAAGTCGGTAATGCGGTCATTATCGCGTCCCACTAGGGACAGTTCACACCGTCCACTGAACATCAAAAACGTACTATAATTAATTAAGATATACTTTACTATATTCTCTGTTATGAATTCCGCTTGTCTGACTTAATTTTTTAAGCAAATACAATCAGCATATACTCTAAAGTTTTAAAATAACTATTTGGTGGTGCAGCGCGGAAGAACACTATTACCTTATTCTATACAGTACGCGCACGTAAACAAGGCAAGTAATGAATGGGATATCTGCACCTGTGACTACAAAAGCGGGTATAGGGTGGAAGCCATTATTGGGTGGCATGTGATGACGAAGAGGGAATGGTAATCGAATATTCAGCAGATAATCTTAGTCATTCTAATACGTTTACTCCTAAATTCTGACTTACGTTGGACCGCGAACCTTTTTAGAACACAAAGGATCTGTGCTCGTAGATTATGACACAATTTTTACCACCAAATTTGCTTGCGCTTTTTGCGCCACGCGACCCGATTCCATATCTTCCACCAGTAACAAAGCTACCACACGAAAAGAAGAGGGTACCATACTTCGGAGTAGCCAACAATTTGAACGAATTTGAGGTAAGTTGCTTAAAATATGCCTATGTTGCCCACTTAATAAGTCCAATTGATTTCTTCTGACGCTTAACATTTGCATACGAACTAAAAGCTGACTTCTTAATTTAACTTACAACTCCAAAATGGCGGAAACAATAGTTGCCATCCTCGTGGTACTTGGCCGTCTACATGAAAAAGTATTCCGTAACTTCTAGAGTGGACCTTTCACGTGCATAACACAGACACGGTAGCCAAAGATGTGACAGGTATCTTCCTTACTGCTTATTGTTCACACTTCCAATCTACACCATCGACACAATTTCAATTAATAATTCATTGCATTCTCAGTTAATTTAATCAGCACAATTGGTGTAGAGTGCCCAAAGATCTGCTACACATAAACTGATCCGAATTTGACCAATTCAGATGCTTGATTATTCCTTTGGTTTTCACAGGCAATCAATATCCCATTGATTGTGGAGTCTCCCACACAGTAGTCTAGTGAGATCAGTCATACAATTTGATGCTGATAATAGGGCCTTGCATGCAATGGGAAGACATACCCCCAAATCTCAAACGGCATTATCTACTCTCCAATGTAATTAGTTATTGTTTCTTATCAGAAAGTAACGCGTAATTGAATCAGTGATTGCATCTGTGCATGTAGGAAAAATGCCAGGTGTGGAAGAGAAGCTTCAGTGACACTATTGTTGTCAGGTTTGTTTTCTTTGTCGATCTCTCTTAATCCATACATATTGATCTTGTCTTTTCATATGTAGATTAACTGCTATATGGTAATTTTCAAACTACTGTTTTCATAAGCATTATTGAACCTACACTTGAACACTTACTTGGTCACAGGACTGCTAGGAGAGGAGGGTGGTAACAGGGCAACCTGATCATCATCTGGAACTGACACAAGGTGATAAGCTTCGGGGACTTGATTGTTGAGTTTCCAGGCATCTTTATCTTCGTTAGGAATACACTGACTTGGGTCTAATTTGTCCACCATTATTTGAGCATTATCCAGTAAAGTTGGACTGGGTGCTTTGAACATTGATGGGGTGCTGCTCTTTCTCCGGAGATCCTGTCCAGTCTCAGATGCTGTTGATGCTTTTCTTTTTTTGCTGCCCCGTTGAATTCTTCTTGCAGCAACTTTGCGTTCGTGCCGCAATGATTCACGGGTTTCTGGGTCTCTGAACCTAAGAGGCATGGAGAAAACCTTTGTATTAAGAACACACAAAATTGGAAAGAGAAAAACCAAATGTTAATAAATAAGCACTGTTTAAGCTTTTCAGAAAGGCAAGGCAGCATTGTGACTCCATATGAATTTCCCAGGATCTGGTTCTGGAATAGTCCTAAAGCCATCAATTTGCTTCAGCTGATCCTATAATGCTAGTCTGTATATACAGATATCAGTGCCTCTACTGTAGTGCCAAAATTAGATCACATTGTAAACAGCAACAGAAATTAAGTGCTGTGGAGAACGAACATTAAATAATCCATCTTCATGCTATAGAGCTTGCTTATGTCTAGCCATCCTTTGTTTATAGCACTTATCTCCATAAAACTGCAGTGCTCTTCTCTATTGTTAGTATTTTGTAATATGCAGTTATGTGCTTCTTGCTCTGAATAATATGGGATATATAAAAAAGATCCGCATGACAAATGTGACCCGGTTGTTGCACATGAATAGAAGAAAGGAAGTATTCCCATTTGACACAATAATGGGTCTGGCAGACCCATCATTTGTGAAAAGATATTGGAATTGGGAATATATAGCACCATGAAAAAAGAAAGGTGAAATGTAGCCTCACACATGCAGTACATGTCACATGTTTAACCACATAAGAAAAATTATACACAAGCCCGTTTAGAACCCTATTACATTCAGAATTAATGATCTACATTGCAATAGGCTTTTTTCTTCTTTAACACATATGTTTGCTTGAGCAGGCCTTTTTGCTCATCACATATATATCTCCTTTCGAGACGGTAAAAATTGTTGATATATGCATAGAGAATGTTAGAATTACTAGCACAACTTGAACTAGGGTTACTGATCTTTAGTGTACCCAAAGGAAATTGCTATTGATATTTTAAACATTTTGTTAGACAGCTTTCAGTAAGCGGCACTTGAGGCATTTTCAATTTCCAGATAAATATTGCTAGTTATATATTTTAGGACCCTAAGGATACACCCCCACCTACTAGGGCTGAAACCAAAGAGGAACGCAAAGAAAGGAAGGTAAGGAACTTAATGTGCACCCAGTGCCTTAACTGTCATATTATTGCAAACTACATTAATTTCAAACATTAAACATCAAAACTTATTAAAAGTACCTTGTGTTGCAGTATAGAAACTTACTCCCCGAACTACTGAATTTTAATATATTTCATCTTACCTGATTTTTTGATAGCTTCTTACAAATGAAACCTCTCATGTTTCAGAGAAAAGAGCGAGCTGAGCAGGTTGCATACAAGCTAGAGCAAGATTTGGCATTATGTAAGTTTGATATTGGTGATTGAAATAGACCCTTGGCAAACTCGCTGAAAATATCAGTCTATTTTGATGGTGTAGTAGTGAACCGTAAGTGCATTCCTCATACATCTGTTGTTAAGTTAAAGCTATTGGCTTTCACAGTCCAGGTAGTAATTATATTCTCATACTTAACACACCTTTCCTTACAAACTGACTACAGATACCTGAAATAGATCAACCCCTGTTCTGTCATTAAGTAAAGCAGCTAACCTGTTTGCTTTAAGGGCCTTACAAATGAATTAGATGTAATAAAATCTGTTATATGTGGCAGCAACATTTCCGACAAGAGCACAAGCTGCATCTAACATCTTTTGCAATCTGTTAATCTACGATCTATTTGTTGCAGGAGATGTAATGAATTACTAGTCCATTTTCAGTTTTAGATTGCACAGTGCATGCAACGTAAAATGTGTGAAATGGAATGTGCATGCAGATGAGGCAAGCAACCAGACTGTTGAACATGCAACATGCACATCCATAAAGTGCACCTCACGTGTATTGATTATACCATTCTCATTATATCTATATATTGAAAAGGCCTAATAATTTCTTTCTCAGGTTGAGAAAATAAGTTTTTTGTTAACCACCACCCCCATTCCCCCTTTTTCATAGAAAAAAAATAACAAAACCACTCCCACCTTTGACTTTGCTCAGAATTACCCAAACCAATCATTCTGCCCGCACTTGCTTGCGTTGGGTGTCCAATATATCCAAATCCACGCAAACTTAAGCTGGAGAATAACGTAGTTTATTCTTATAATGAGCAACACTCTGAGGCAACCAAGTGATGGGAAACAGAAACAAATGCCACTAGTATCGAGGTTAGCATTCTGAATGTCAAGAGATGTTGTTTGCCCACTTACAGGCAGGAAACCATTCCTCATTTGGCATCCTACTGAGGTCTGGGAATATGCTGTCTAATATATACAAACTGATACAACAAGAATAGGTGGGGGCGATCAGTTTGAAGGCATTAGCAGCGCTTTTATGATGTATGTTGATTTTCATTTCATTTTAAAGAATTTTTATTTGAAAAAGCACTCAAACTGGTTGTCACCGTTCTCTAGACAACAAAAAAGATTTTTTTCAGATAACACACCAATTTGTAACTGTTCTTAGATGTAAGAGGCAATTAAAAAAGTTTCAAGATTGCGAAGCATTGTTTGAAATTGAATTTTCCAAGCAAAGGGTCATAGCAATAAATGACAAAGAATTTTATTATGACCAAACAAATTTTTAAAGAACCAGAAAATGCATTTTTATTGAATGAATGAAAAAGTGGAAGATGTCATTGGGCAGTAAGTAAAAGAAATATTGAAAATGCAATTAAAATCTGCAATCAATAATTCGACCTTTATTCCTTTAAGTAAACAATCCAGCTTAAGGCAGTAATGTTTAGATTTAATTCACTGCAGCAGCAAACATTGCGTTTCATGTAAAGCCTGTGCAGCCTGCAGGTTACACCAGGTGCGAAGCTGTGAAGAGGATCTTAAATCGGAATTGCAACCATATCTTGTTGTGTTAGATAGGCAAATGCTAAACAACAGTTGTTGTGCCTATTTTACCTATAGACCGACCGGCTTCCATATTAATAGGCTTTTGGCATCTGTTTTGCTGAACAGTACCATTGGCTAATATTTTTGACTATGTGCATAACAGTTATACTATTTAAGATAACCAGTTGTTTTTTTGGTTTATGCATCACTTTGCTGAAAATTTATTTTAAAAAGTTACAAAACAGTTTTTAAGAAAATGGTTGACTTTATTCCCTGAGCTTAAAAGAATACTGCAACAGTTTATGAAAAACTGATTATTCTGATTACTGCATATTTTATATCTTGTTGTTTTCCAAGTTATTGAATTTTGATAGAAAATGATGGCATCTTATAAATCTGGTAGTTAGCAAAGATCTGCTGGGTATTACCAAATTTTTTACAAGTGAATTTTAAAACGGAATGTTACTGGGTTATTATAATTACAGCACAAATAAAAGATTTACTGGGTATTAGTTGTGGTACATAAAAATGCATTCAGTATTATTAATCTTTTTAAAACTAGAATGATTTTAATAGATTATTTCAATTATCTCAATTTAAAGAGTTTAATTATGTATGTTATGTATGTTATGTATGGTATGTTTTCAAATGCATTTCACTACATAATTCTTTAATCATTTACAATAACTGAAAGATTCAGTTATACACTTATCTGTTAATTTTAGCACGAATGATACCTGAAATATTTTAATAAAGTTTGATGTAGAGCAAATTATACCTGGGCTTTTCACTTGCACTAACCACTTTCATGTTAGTATAAGTAGTAAACACCAGGAAGATTAAACATCTTACCAAAGTATTACTGCATTACTATCATACAGTGTAGTAATTCCAGAGGTAAAAGACATTATATATATATATATATATATATATATATTTCATATAATGGTGTTCATATATGTAATACAACTAGCAAAATCAAATCTGTCTGAGTATATCCTGGAGAGCAGAACAGCATTGCTGATGATTGCAAAATGATTCAGATACAAGCAGACTAGATCCCTGTTCTAAACATACGGGTCCTACTTTCCTTTTATGTTATTGCTGTGTTGATACAGAGTGGATTTAGCTCACAACGTAATTTGATTTAACTAAAAATCCAGATGTAAGGTTATGATGTAAACGTGCATAACATTGGATAATAGAAGGGATAAGGCACAACAGTGCTGTCTTAATTGTTCCTAAAATCACAGTTAAGTTAACAATATGGAGTACATATGAACATGCATACGTCATTACACATCTATTAGCTCGTTGTCTATCGCTCTTTCGGTGGCATTTACTCAACCACCTCAATAAGTATTCTAAGGTCAAACGAAAGAGTAATATATCTTGAAAGGCAATCATTCCTAAATGCTGTTGCCAGGTTTGTTGTGAATTAGTGAGAGGCATTATACTTTAACAAATTGTTAGCCATGTACATGTTTGAAAACCCTTCCCCCCCTACCTTCCATGTTGGCTCTGTAATGTACAGTTTAACTCACCTGTACATCTTGCTGGTATACCTGACAAAGCTGTAACTAGTAGATTGGCATCATATTTCTTTCCCTGTCAGGGAACCCCACTCCAGTCAAAATATATCATTGCTGCTTGTGAGCACTAGAAAGCGAAGGGGAACAAGGAGCCATGCTCCTGTGAGCAAATGTTTTAAAATACAATATTTGTCTTTGAGCTTAGGATATACTGGTGACTGTAGTTCAGGGATATTTCATTCGCATCTAAGCCTTCCATAAATAGAGGATTAGGGAGATGGTACAAAAGGCTTCATTCCCATGACCTCTTGTGTATTATTCTGACATGTGTTTTGCCACTGAGCTGCTATTTGCTATATGTTGCAAGGCTGCATTCTATTGGTTCTCTATATAAATAGGCAAATTAATTATTGTATCTAGCCAGCATATTTCTCATGTACTCTGTTTTTTTCTTTGCAGGGGATCCAACAAACACTCCAAGTGGGACTGAAGACCCTTTCAAGACATTATTTGTGGCGCGAATTGTAAGTATTGCAGTTATGAAATGGGATACCATCAAAAAGTCGTTTTATATTTATAGACATTTTTGCTTTGTTTTGAATATAAATATGATATCTTTCACCAATGGCACATTTCTTTTTACCTATTTTCAGTATTCACAGGATGGTGGATGGAATACATAGATTGTGTTTATCAGTCTGAATTTAATGTCACTTCCATCATACCTCTACCGCCTCAAATGTCACATCTTTTGTACAAGTGAGATGCATTTTATCCCTGGCAGAGTAATTATGCTATTTAAGATATCAGTAACAAGGGTGTGGTATGTCAAATCCTTGTTGTGAAACCCTGCTGCCAGTTATTGTATTGCTTTAAGGAATGAGACTGCCTGTTATGTAGACATACAAATGGAAATGTGCAGCTTACCTTCTTTCCTTTCAGAACTATGACACCAGTGAATCCAAGCTGAGGAGGGAATTCGAAGTGTATGGTCCAGTTAAGAAGGTAAAATACTTCTTCGTTGTCCTACTTTTCTTACTGAATGTGTCAAATGTTTGATGTGCTTCACTGCTTCTGAAGCATTTAATTTTCTGCTCTATTTTCATTCAAATATGGCATTATGCTATGCTAGGTTCATGATTTGTAAGGAAGTAATGTTAAATTGCACAACTGCAATTACATGTATAGAAAACTAGCAGCCCAAAGGTTGCTATTTGTATAGGTTTTATATAAAACAATAATAATGCAACAGTGCATTTTGTCCAAGTTTTTACATAGAATGTTGTTCTAAAATTACTCATTGTAAGAATTGTTGTTGATAGTTTCTATATTTTACCCACACAACAACAAATGAGAGCTGCTTTGTCACAATTGCGCTTGATTAAACTTTTTAAATGTTTGTATATGTTTACTTAGTGCAGTGAAGCAGCATGTTAATAATCACTGTAACTGGTTTTTAAAGTCAAGTCAACCCAGTTGATATATTTGTTTTCAAATTATGCAAGGGAAAGTTAATATGACTTACATTTGACCCTAAAACAGTTATTCAAATTTAAAAAGAACAAGTTATAAAAGGAAAAGCTAAGATCTGCGTTTGTGAATCTTTTTAAAGTGCAGATTAAGTAATGACGTATGGAGCTTTTTGCAGTTAAAAAACTAGGGATCGACATTTTGAAGTCCTTTTTTTCATACTTATTGAATAAAAGTTTTTGCCATTTAAAGCCTGGGATTATTTCACATAAAATAAGGAAAAAGTTAGTTATCTTTGTTAACCTCTGCAAAGTTTTTTTTCCTGTAAGACTTTTTTCTTTTGTTTAGAGCATTAGAGTTGTAAACGCATCTTTTTTTCTTTCAAATTAAAATCACAGTCATAGGCCTCATTCCCATTGAAACAATGGGTCTACATCGATCAATCCAACTCCAGGGGACTCTTGCTGAATCCAATCAGCTTAAACAGATTGATGTGCCTACTCTTGTTTCCAACATACTTTCTGTATTCCACTCAAGGCCAGGAGGAGGTAGACTAATCTGTTAATGGGATTGCATTCAGCGAGAGTCCCTGCAGAGATGGATTGTTCTACATGGATCAGTGGTGTCTGTGGGAATGGGGTCATAAAGCATCTTTAAAAAAAAGAATCACAAATGTGCAGGTGCACTTTCTGTGAATGACCTTAAACCGAGTTATTTACATTCATATATTATTAGAAATAGGCCAGCATCATTGGAAACTGCAATATGAAGAAGCTAGACAGATATCGGTATACTTAAAAATAGCATAAAACTTATTTAACATTGATTTCGAGATCTATAAACTATTTGTTATAGTAGTGGTATTAGTTATATTTCACCTTCCTGTATTTTACCCAATAAGAAATAGATCTACCTTCTCAGAGTTCTGAGCCCTGTTTCAAGAAGCCATGCTTAGCTAATTGACTGTTTTGCTATGAGGTTCATTTGCTTAATCTCTGTATTAAATGCACATTTAGTTTCTTTTTTCTAAGTTAAAAACTCTGTAATGGTCACCATTAGCCAAATATTGCTTCATGAAACTGGTCCCAGACCCAGTTGCTACATCGACAAACCAACCTGTTCATCCTGAAAATAGTGGTTTAAAAGTGACTACTTTAACTTGAATTTTATACAAATGTGAAGACAGGTTGATGAATAAATAGTGTTAGAAGTCATGAGGTCTAGCAGAGATTTGACCTGCACGCAACATATATTACAGAGATAAGCATGACTTGTTTTATCTGGATCAAATGTCAACTTTTTAATGGTGACTGTGGTTTTTGTTACCATCATTTTCATAATATTAACTTTCCTCCCCCCCTCATGATCATCAGTCTTTTGGTACAGTAATTGGAACATAAGACATTAGCTGTGTCAGCACAATATATCAGTAACTCACAAGAGTGCCTGATAAAATACCTCTAGAGAGGGACAGGATATAATAAGTATTTTTTCCTTGTATGAATCCCTTTCGTCAGTTTTAAGAACTACATATTTGGATGCTGAAAAAGAGTCCCCAAAAATCTTTCAGTTGATGGCTTTATTAATTGACAAACAAGATGTAGTAGGGAAGGTCTAAATTTATAACATAACTGTGTGCCTTTCCAAGACTGAGGCATTTAACACTGGGTAAATTACAGAGCATGCAGAAGCTCATTTTATGACAAGAATTGAAAACTTTTTTAACTGGGTGGATTTATAGTATGGTGAAGTAATGATAGTGTTAACTAATCTAAGCAGGCGAGCCATCTTGACAGCATCAGGTATTTTGTAATAATTGAAACATGGTAGATGCATTGAAAACAGGGTTTTGAGACGATATTGCCCTTTTCAAACAGAGCATTGAGTGCTCATGCCTATCCATGTAGTTACTTTCAAATAAAAACAGGTTATTTTGATGTTGCTTTCAAAGCTTCTTTGCAAGGAAAATTGTATGGCCTTGCAGGATCAAAGAACACAGATTCTGCTGTTTGAGTTCTGATACAATAAGGTATCAGGAAGGGTATAATCAATTATCTATCAGTGACCATAAACATGTTTTCATATAGTGCTTCATTTTGAGGTGGTTTGAAAGGTTAGAACAACATCAGGATTGATTCATAAGAGTAAAATTGTTGCTGTGGCATTTTTATACGTTACATCTTTGAAGTTGTTTAATGGGAAAAAGATTAATCCTTTTAATCATTGAAACCTCCCCCCCCCCCAAAAAAAAAAAATTTTTTTTTTTTTTTTTGCAAATATAGTAATGACTCAAGCTTTTTAATGGGGATACAGATACTAATTTTTTAAAAGTCTTAAATTCTTAAAATTGAAACATTCCTTTAGATAGCAATAAAATCAAAAGCAGACTAACTTAAGTTCTATTCTATAAAGAAAAAGCACCCCCAATGTTACACAGAATTATAATTTTAATGAATTTGAAATTATGCATCTGAAATTTTCCCCAATGATATTGAGGTGGCAAATTTTAATTGAATGTAAAGTTACAAGTTGTTAAAGATTGTCCTCACATTGTTATTGCCTGAATTTTTGTGGTTTTGATGTGGAACTTTGACATAGATGAAAGAGATCATCTTAACAAAGTGCAGACTTGGCCTAATATTTGATGTATGTATGTGTGTGTGTCGCTTTGTGTCTCCAACACCTTAGAGCAAATTTTAATCCATCAGGGTCATACCTGAGGAAGGAAGATAAGTGTAACTGCTGGTCACATGACTTACTAAAAACAAACAGCCCAGTTTGATAGATATGAATGAATCATTCTAACCATTTTTCCTTTATTTATCAGATCTCGGTGGCCAAGGACAGAAACACTGGAAAGCCCAGAGGTTATGCCTTCATTGAGTATGAACATGAGAGAGACATGCATTGTAAGTATTAAAACAAATGAGGCCTACATAACCAAAATTTCAATTTCACACCCTTCTTTGAAATGCCAGTATTAAATTGATATACAACATGAAAACAAATAGGGGATGAGAACAGACTTCATATACATCATGCTTACTCACTCTAAACCTATTGCAGCACTCCTGCCCCATATTGGGTTAGATGGGATAACCATACAGATAACTCACTGACAGATTACAGCAAATGAAGACACCTTATGATTTATTCTATTGAAAAAAAAAAAAAAACGCCCTCATAGAAAAAACTGCCTTATGGCTAGTGACACACATCTATTTTACACCTTACATCTTTAGATACTTATACAAAGTTCTCACTCTGTGATCACCCACAACAAATTAGTCTTATCTCTGTAGACATGTCCTTTATTTGTTTCTGCACCTTATTTTGGTTTCTTTTTAAAAATGAGCATAATTATTTAAAAAGTTGCCCTACCTGTGAGAGGCATTGGAATTGATGAAAATGTCTGCAGAAGGCCTACGATTCTGTCTCACCATTATGCTAGTTTTGTGACAGTTGCATACTAAACACTCCTTTGAAAGCTCAACTTTGTAAGAAAGTTTGATGACCTCAGGCTCAGTCCCTATGTGTAGGGGCCAGTGAAGGGTTTAAATAGGCACAATGGTGGGATATCTTATGTCACGGTCATCTTTATCCAGTGGATGTTAAACCAGGCGTTAAAAAAGTTTGATGAATAGCAAGAGCCCTTATTTCAAGTCATTTTGTATAGTTTAGTGGCCACTGGTTGACAGATAGTCTTTACTTTACTATTGATGAATAGTAGCCCAAAGGTGTGTTTATCTCATTTCCTTTAAATTTGGTGTGCTACGGTATTATTATCTCATTTATCTAGCCATTGTTTGTGATGGACAGCCCTCTGAAGAAGCAGACCAGTGTTTAAAGTAAAATAAAGGTGTATTTATTCAGTTTTGATTATATAACAAGTCATTTGCAGCTTTTTTTTTTCATTGGCCTTTTCCCTCCATGTTTATCCCAAAATGGTAAGACAGGTAAAATGTATTGGAAACAGTGGTAAGCCAGGTTTTTTATGGTGTTTGTTTTGATTTACATCACATTTTTGTAATCATTAATAATATTTTGAGAAAATAATATGGGAGCAACAGAAATCATTTTTATGTTTGGGAACCAATATTTATTAATCTCTGTTATTTTTGTTACTGCAGACCTCTGCTGTCCTTGGTCTAAGTGGCCCCATCCTTTTGAAAGTTGCTCATAGTTAACGTGGGAATCCATTTATAGGTTTGTATATGTGGTAAGATTTGGGGTCGTGTACCTTCCACATAGTACAAAACCTGACTCCAGAATTTGCTTTTGATTTATCCAAATTTAACAGTTGATTTTAGGATTTGTATGTTGGGTGCATGCTTTTGAAATGAAAAAATCTCTCTTGAAGTTGAACAGTCAGGTTAAAATGTTGCATGGTTTGCAACATAACTAAAGCCACTGTATCCTTGTAAATGGGAAAAATATGTAATTGATGTTCTTCAAGTTCTCTTGCAAAATTTTTGGTCTGCACTTCTAAATCTTAAAAAAAGTTTCACAACCGCACCATGTCACAGGTCATGGGGTTGCTATGAAACTTAAACTTTAAAACTTTGCTAGACTGCAATGTTGATATGAAAATGTTTGGTTTGGCTGTCAACTGGTCCATAACAGGAATTTCTTCAAAATGGCCATGGTAGGTAGGGAACCAATCAGGTAACAGGTGGTTTGAAATTATACAAATAATGTTCAAAAAGTCAGATTTTTTTTTTAAATTAAAAAAAAAATTTTTTTGTTAGAATAAAACAATCCAGGGAATTTTTTTTGCTTTAAATAAATAAAACCAGTGGGAAAAATTTACTTTGGATTTTTGTCAAATTATATTTTTGGAGATTTGAATATAGAAAATTCATGAAGCAAAGATGCATTGGCCTTCATATTTGAAACAAAATTTTTTTGACATTTTGGATTTTAGTTTTTGTACAGAGTCATTTTGAATAATATAGATTAAAAAGAAAAAAGTTAATAAAAAAAGCCAATCAGGTAAGGCCGGGTAAGTTCACGTGGGATTTTCACAGAAGTGGACATCAGGCCTCGTGATGACCATGATCCATAGTCAATGAATTGAATCAACTACTGACCCCCTTCAGATAAGTAGGCATCGTAAGTTCTTTATTTTGATATAAGTGCATTGATTTGATGTAACCAGGTAGGTTGACGAGGAGGACCATCAGTTGCAGAAATGAAGATGGAGGAAGCTGAGGTGCCAAGAATTGGAACTTTTATTTCTTTAATGACCATTTTCAGTGTTTGGTGTGTAGAAAGTTGTAGCTGGGAGAAAGTTTTTTAAAATCTTTTTTTTTTTTTATATCAGAATAATATGTTTTAATATATAAATTCCCAAACAGGTACAAAATTGAATTTTGAAAACTATTGTCAATGTACAAATTTGGTATCAATTTTGCCCCTGTTTGGTGACCTTTCAGGTAAGTTTGAGACAGAACAGTTTTACCCCTGCCTGAAGAATGAACTAGATGTTTGTGGACGTGCAAGAAGAGCATAGGATTTTTGAGCAAAACAAGAGCACGATCATGATTGATACACACTTCAAAGATGTTCCTATTCATATTGGTTGTTTTAAACTTACTGGAAATCAATCAAAACTTGCCTCTGATTTTCAGAGGTCAGGGGTTAAGGCACCCCCTATTTATCTAATAAATTGATGCCATGATTTCCCATTTGGCATCTTCATACTTACTAGACAAGTGGTATCAGATTGATCCTGCACTTGATATAGCACAGAAAGCACTGATTTTGTGGTTTGTTATTTCTCATCTATTGCTGTTTTTTGTTTAGCTGCCTACAAGCATGCAGATGGCAAAAAAATTGATGGTCGCCGTGTACTGGTTGATGTGGAGAGGGCGAGAACTGTGAAGGGATGGAGACCAAGGAGGCTAGGTAGGTTTTAACTGATATTGAAGAAAAATCTGTCTCAGAAGAAGAAATGATTACCAACTCTTTTTATGTAGTTATTCTGCCTGACAAAAAGACTAGATAATGTTCTTGGTGTTTAGATATTACCCGAGTGTGTTTAAGATACCATACATACATACACTTGTATTCCCATATTTATGTATGTTTAAAGATGAAAATTGCCTGGGAAATGAGTGCATTTATTTATGTATTTATATAAGACAATGTTTCAAAAGTAATAATAAGGATTTGGTTCTTTTACACTACATTATTTAAAATGTATTAATAAAAGAATTGGTGTATAAATATTTATTATGACTGTTTGCAGGTGGTGGGCTAGGAGGCACACGTAAAGGTGGACCTGAGGTGAACACTAAATTCTCAGGCAGGGATGACAATGAAGGGTAAGAATTCTTTTACTGGTTTACAATGAGAATTATCTTAGCCTTTAAAATACTTGGGAAGTGTGTTTTATCCTATGTACTTCATTTACTGATATATCAATCGTTGTGGCAAATATTCATGAAGACTTCTTTAAAAAATCATTTCAGGAGAAGGAGAAGTGCCAGTCGTGAAGCAGAACGGTCCAGAAGTAGGGAGCGTATTCGCAGTAAGAAGCGCAGTCGTAGCAGAGAGAGGAAGAGAAGCAGGAGCAAGGAACGTCGCCGACGTTCTCGCAGCAGGGACCGCAGACGCAGCCGCGACAGAGGTGATCGTGACCGTGGGGATAGAGACCGTGACAGAGACAGAGACAGGGATAAGGACCGGGACATGGAGAGAGGAGAGAGAGACAAAGAGAGAGACATGGACGGAGATGCGATGCCAGAAGATCAGATTGAAGGAGGTATGAAGAATATTTTTTCCCTGGACAGATTTATTTATGATTTGATATTAAATAACCACTTAACCAGAGACGCCTGTGATATGATTTAAAATAAATTATTTGCTTGTTGTAAATGCTATGAAAAATATTATACTTAATTGTTGGTTGGTTGGATCTACTCAATCTTTATAAATTCCATAACAGAAGAATACTCAATCTTTTTTCTTTCCTTTTTTTAATTTCGTAGCAGAAGAAGAGGGAGGCTCTTCCAGAGACCGTTCACACAAACGCAGTCGTCGAAGCAGGTCGCGTGATAGAAAGCGTAGTAGGTCACGTGATAGGAAAAGAAGCCGCCGTAGCAGAAGCCGTGACCGTAAACGTGATCGTGACCGTGGAGACAGAGATCGTGCTGGTGAAAGAGGGGATGAAGCATCGGGTGATCAGGAGGCTATGAAAGCAGAACAGTACGAGGATAAAGGGGAATATGGCAATGGAGAGAATGGTGGCGAGAATGGCTACGGAGAATATGATCAATCCAGTCGCTCAATGGAAGAGATGCAACAAAGTTATGATGATAGCAATGAGTACGGTTCTGTTGGAGAGTACGGCTCTGAGCCAATGCCGCTAAAAGCTGAACCAGCAGCTCTGGACTATACAGAATATGGTGGTGCAGGGGATGTCAGTGAGGAAAACTAACTTGAACGTTGCTGATCATGCCTAAACTTAAAGCACATTTCATGTCTTTTATTTGATATTTTCATGTGCATTTGTGATGGTTATGAACTTTTATTCTCAGATGTTTGGATTTTTAATTTAGATTTGAAATTCGTCCAATCAAAATAGCGAAATTGTTTGGAGATCGTAAAAAACGTGTGATGGACAGCGACATTGAGCTTTAAATCATCTTTTAAGGTCATTTGTTTTATTTTGAAACAAAGGGAATGTAACTACATTGTTTAATAAAGCAACTTGCAATGAATAAAAAATAAATTTCGAAGACTTTGTTCGCTTTATCAAGAGAAATTGTTCACCCCTTACCGTGGATTATTTAACTTAAAAAAATAATAGATTTTAGAAGCGCACTATCACCCCTCCCTCGTCCCCCCGGATTTCTCAACACCAGATGATACCTTGGATATCAAATGCCCTTGTGCTTTATATTTTATTTTAGGATATTGTCAAATTTCATCTATAAAAAGGCAGATAAAGCTTGCTGTCAATACCGTTTTGCCCACTTGCAGACCATTGCATTAGTGGTGCGAGGTGTAGACAACGCTGCACAATCACAAAGTAATTAGTTGAGAATAACTGTAAAAAAACGGTAAAATGCTGAAGAAACATTTATATCGATGCTTAAAAAAGGTTAAATGTCTGGAAATAATCACTTGTAAAATGAAAAATATCGTCAACATGATTTTGTCTTAAGTGTTTCTTCCAAGGTATTTTGATATAGATGATGCGCACAAATTTTGAATGCAGTCATTTGAAGAGAAGGAAGTAGGCCTATATTTACATTGCTAGTCTAAAAACTACTGAACACTGATCATTACCCAACACATCCTATGTTTGGGCTATGGGTATAAACGCTGTGCATAGTCTTGCCTCTAAATCAGGTTGCGTTTTCGTTCTCGGCAGATGAGTTGGAACTTCTATATACTGGCTCTAATTTCTGGTCAAACCTTAATTTTTCTCTTTGCTAAATGAACAGGCTTCTTATGCAAAAGAAAAGGAAATCTCGCCGTACATAAATGCAAGAACACGGATCTTGACCTTTTTAAAACGTGCTCCCACCCATGTGACTGATTACTTGGTCGCAGATGTCCGGTGTTTTGGGCCATGCCCTACCTCGACATATTTCTGCTTCGAACTATTTCGAAAATAAATAGATATACAAATGCTTAGTTTAATTTACCTTTCATCTAGGGAGTCGTTATCTTCCGAACTCGCGTAAATCCCTCTACTCCTCACTGTTGGATGCCACATAATTTTGCAAATGAAATAGTCCAAAAGAAGTTAGATATTACGTTTGCTGAAAATGTTTGTTTGAGAGGTCGAAGGTGACAGCCTGGACCAAGTCACGCAATTTGCACATTATCCGGACAAGGCTTGGACAAAAGATGCCTGGTGAATTTTTGCGTGATCTGAGCAATATTCGTAAAATGTGTGCTAACACATTGAATCTGGGCATTTTTCAATAATTTCTTTTTATATACAGATGTCCTGATCATTTCTCGGTCCATTTCGTTGCAGTCACAGTTGTCAGTTAATTTTTGCTCGCCCCATAAATGCCAAACCATTTGTTTACTTTGATTTTTCTGGAGATTTTGTTAAAAATTATCTTCAAGTAATATTTTCTGTTTACATATGCTGCACATTCAGACCTTTTAAATGAAGAAATTCCGTCGAATAAAAGAAGCTGATGTCAATTTCTCCTTCTGAAATGTACAGGCAGGAATGCATGGCAGTCTAAATCAAAGTAGAAATGGCATGAAACATCGAATCCAAGTGCAGGAACGGGCCGAGCATGATATGCGAGTGGGATAAATGCATCGTTTTTTCCGAGGAATATTTGATTTTGCGGGAGCGACAATGTAAAATGTCGTGAATCATTTCAATGTACTGAATTAAACAGGTAAATCCCTGGTAGGTTCATATACATTTTTTTCTTTCCTAATGATGATTTGAAAATTGCTCACATTTTTGTGTCCCCTCTCCCCATTAACATGACAAACCGTCTTACCAACGAATCTCTGGCTTCATTTTGTTTGATATCTGTTTACATAAAACCTCGTCAAATAATGCACAGGTGTCAAAATTACAAAGTTATGTTCTACGAGATGTCTATTTTAAGTATTGTATTCCCAACCGTTACATGCTTTCCATCACCCGAAATATGTCACTCGCTATGTTCACATTGAAAATAGGCCTACAACAAGTACATTATGGAGTCACATCATTTCCCGTTCAATCACATTAAGGCTCTCAACTTTGAAAAGTAAAAATAGTAATGTTATATGTCTGATGTAGGCCTACTGCTACATAGCAAAAATTCTTGAGGGTTCGTTGATTTTTCTACGTGCCAGCAACTCGTAATGCAGGTGTTGTTGTGACCACGGATAATGTCGTCACTCGCGCACATCGGCTCACTCAAACAAATTACAGAGCTCGGGCACAGAATGTAGTTGACATATGGCAGTTCCATTCATATAATTAGAATTATGTTCCTGGACGCCAATCTACAGTATACCCATGTAAACCATGATATGATTACCGGTAGTTATTCATCCTTCAGCAAATCTACTTCTCGTTAGTTTTCTTGATGCCAGGGCATTGACGACATAAAAAGAACGTTAAAACCACCTTAAACAATGCGCACCGTGCGGTAGTCTGCCAATTTCAGGTTGCCATTTGAGACCTGCCCTTTCCGTAATTTCAGTGCTTATATCTTGTCGTGTGCAAGACCCATGCACAAGAAGTTTCCTGGAGTTGCTGACTTGGAAACAGCATTGCACTGCATGTGATTTACGTCTATTTCCTCTACTTTGATGTGCTTTTTCTCTCACCTTTTATTTCACTAACTATTATCTCTCATATTTTAATAGTTTATCATTAAAATGTACATGTATTTTCAGACTTTAGAACCGGCTACATTCCGACATTTAGCATCTGAATATACTGTAAAGGACAAGAAGAAAAACAATGTTTCGCTTTTGCATCTTTCACCGAGTATCGTGATCGCACCTTGAAAGCAAGAGGAACTACGGTAAAACAAATGCATACTTCTATTGTCATCATCGTGTTCATTAGGACTATTCCTTCATATATCATCCCTCCACCCAAGTTCACGTAATGTTAAAGTAAATATACAATTTCCCTTGCTGCAACAAACATGGATCAACATCTTGCTCTGCAGCTCAGGTTGCATTTGACCGTCTTATTGATATCTTAAAGAGATGGCCAGGATTCTTTTAAGCAAGTAATTAGATTATTTTAGATTTTTGTGTAGTTGGTAGTCATTTTTCTCTATTTCTTCAAAATAAATGTGCACTGAAGGAAGAAAGAAACAATATTTGCGTACATACACATAGCCGTCCGACAAGAAAATGGCGTTGGACTCGATATGTTAGCAGCAGGTATATGGATTTCAAATGCATACATTTGTTTTTTCAAATTCAGATAGATCACAGATTATTATTGTTCGTCTTGCACTCAGAACAGACCCTTATGGCCAGTAGAATGACTGGATATCCATTGCATATGAATTGAGATATCCATTCTACATTCTATTACAATACCTGTTGGCAGAAGAAACAGCAATTAACCTAGGCAAGGCCTGAATACGCCCATTTTATACTATATCATACAACTTACCTTTCGTCTGAATTATCCTCTATTCCATGTGCTTCACCACCGCAGCTTCCTACCATAGATTGAAACATATCGCGATTATTAAAAGATTAAAAAGATCTATTTGACAGGTGCGTCAGATATGGTAACGATACTTAGCTAGGCAGGCTAGGTTAACCTGGGGTCTACTTTATCCTTGACGGGGTTGGTGGAGGATGAAACTACCCGGCTGCATTCAGTGCGTAACTCACGTTGGCAGCAGTGCCGTCTTGATCTTGGAAAGATCCTTTGTACAATGCTGTCAATTTCAAGTCAACTTATAATTTAGGCGAACAGCACGGCGAAAGCAGGGTAATTCGTCTTCGTTTAATATTTGGAGAGTAATTAAACTTTTCTTTTGAAGGTTGGTAGTATTTTGAACGTCTATGCTACTTTTTATGCCTTCTTTCCCTCTGTTCTTTGTCAGAAAGTAAAACTGCAAACCCGAGCCACTTTTTTTTTAAAGAAAATTAATCTTCTAATTTTATTCATTTATTGTACAGCTCTTTATACTGCCTTTTATGAACTATGCACTGCCTTCGCTGAGCGAATTTACCGACTATAGATCAGAAAATAACATGCTCCCCACCATGACTGAGCTACTTCCCTATTTCATTAGCTGTGTTATATGTAAAAATATGTACTCTATGTGTCTGAAATGCGTTTAGACTTAGGCCCTACCTTAATCTTGCAGAGAATCCAATCCAAGTTCGCTGGGGCTAGACAGAAAGAGAATCCTATGATTTGTTCAGGTTTGTTTGATAAAAATAAATACATGTCTTAGTAGTGCATGGTTAAAATTTGGTGAATTCACCAAAAGTTCACAGAAAAACTCTCATTTGATATTTTGAATTATATATATAATACAGCATATCATATCCAATAACATACTACATCTTAACTACCAGCAACTAAAAATTCGCAGTATTTCGCACCTGATTGATTTCAATATTGGCGGGGTATTCAGCAATGAGGAAATATGTTCTTCTCCGCAGTGGAATAAAGAGTCTACACTAGGGGCACAAAACAACACTGGAGTGAAGTTTGCGAACGGTTTAACGATATGCCGTTTTTTTTTTTTTTTTTTTTTTTTTTTTTTTTTTTTTTTTTTTTTTGTTCATCAAGTTCTAAGGGAATTATGATAGAAAACATGTTGGGAACAGTTTTGAATAAGCTCAAGTCGGAGGCTTAGAGTAAGATTCTTAGTTTAAACCACGGCAAAAACCTAGGACCCACCAAAGTCGCACGAACCAATACGTCAATGCGGTCCAATTTCGGTGGGGTTATCCAGTGAAGGGTATGGGACGATATGACCCAAGCAGTGCGGACATACTACTACTGGAAAAACCGGTTGATAAGCATTCGTGTAATCATACATGCATGAGGATCATATAAAACTGTCTATAGGAATGCGCTCTGTCATGATTGTGGGTTTCAGTCGAAACTTTCCAGATCGATTCAGATAAAAAAGACCTGTGGTGTTGAAAGAGAGCTCTACATCAGAAGTCAAATATTGTGTGTGAGCTGGAAAATGTATGCAGTGATGGATGGTGGAAAAAGTGTGACACTTAACCTCCTCCGCCACCCAAGAAATAGATAAATAAGACACAAATTTTGAATGAAATGCATTCATTGAAGGACAAGAACAACAATTAGAGTCCATATAACCATCCTTGCGTTACATACTGCTTTGCTGACTGCTGACAATGTAAAAATTTGGTAACATATATTAAAAGCTATAATCATGTATTCACACTATATAGGACCCACAAGACATGAAGTAGGTCCTAAATTTGTGTGGATTTACTGACACATGCATATTTTCTCGCATTCACCTACAGATCGATGGTTGGTTATCCTTGCAGAGCACAGGCATTTAATTCACCGATCTCAATTTTACAAAGCACTTTTCCATTGGCATCACAAAACACAAAGTATACAAAAACATACACAGTCACACTAGATACATTTAAACATCATATTACAGAAAAAAGAAATAACAGATAGTTGATAGACTCAATACTCCATGCTTACAGAGGGAGAAACGCACTAAAATGGATCAGTGATCGAGGAAAGGGTTACCGGGTACACGATCAACACATCAAGACCAGTAACACCGCAACCTTCCCTCCCCTGAAACAATTCTGAGGCCCTGATCATGACTGGTCACCGATTTCCAGAGAAAAACATGATATACGTACATCAGAACTAGCCCTATCTGATCGTGTTGAGTTGGTTGAAGGATGTAAATTATTGGTGGATAAAAAGAAAAAAAGGGGGGGGGGGTGCAGGTGCAATTTAAAGTGATGGCTATTTTTATGCAATACTGAAAAGTATCCAAAAAACTAAACAGCAAAGCTTGCTAATATACAGACACCATACAGGAAACAAGGCAGCAAAGCTGATGAATGTTCAGACATTACGCAGAAAAAAAGTGCACCAAATAATGTTTTGGCCAATTTTGATGCACTGCTACATAATGCTTTCAAACAGCATAAGTTGTCTGTCCCTCGCTAAGCCTTATGTTATCTTATCCCAATGCTCAAAATTTCATGGCATATTACCGTATTTCACATTTTATTTTCACCACCACGTTGTACTTTTTTATATCATGCATCTCGTAAACCATATAGAAAACAAAAAATGGACTCCAGTGTTGCACTTGACAAGCTCCACAAAATGCTTAAAAACAAGAGGTCTCTAGCATTTAGTTTTAGAAATAGAGTTTTCAGTTTCAGCATCTAATGGCCACTCTTCCCATGAAAATGCACCGATTGACCCCAAACTCATGAAGATGAAAGATGACCCTAAGTGTAACACTTGCCCATAATATTATAGGTTAGGTCTCTGTAGTTTCTGAAAATTGGCACAAATAATTTTTTTTTTTTCAAAAAAAATCCCATTTTTAGAAAATTATGGCCCATTTGATCTTGAAGGTCAAACGATAAATCCAAGGGCGTATTTGAAATTTCCACACATGACTTAGAGAATAGAAGTTTTTTCCCATAATTCCTTTGGTTTGGGAGATATTTAGCATTTAATCTTGCATAATTTGGACAAAGGTGCATTGCGACAAGCGCCACACCTAGACCCAAGCACAGACAAAGCCCAAAATTCACATGGATCGAGTTGAGATTATATGTGACCTACAAGCAAGAGATGGATACAAGGGCTCTGGTAGTTTAGGCGGAGAAGCAGTAATGGTGCATGGCAGCAGAGCTGGTGGAACATGTGGGTCGAGACTAAAACTATATGTACTGTCAGCGGTGGTACAATTAACTGTACGCAATACAGAAAACGATGCATTTTAATATTTTCTCTGGTTTATTAAAATTTAGTGCTGGCACCATGTGGAAAGCAGTTCCCTAAAATTAACTTACAATGAAGGCCAAGTTTTCAACATATTATTCTCCACCTTTGTGCTGCAGCACGATTCCGATATCTACATCTAAAAAAATATGATATAAAGATACATTTAAGGTTTTTTTTTTGCAATCTAAGAAATATTTCTAGGTAAGAATGACTTAGCATGTATGTATGTTAATAAATTTCACCTTTCAATGAATTAATACCTGATATAGTATATTTTTATTTATACCTTTGACCAACAAACTACTGGGTACAGGCTTTAAACCATGCAATGACAGCTATAAGTGTTCCATCAAAATTATAAGAAAATATACCTTAAGTTGATACCTAACTAGTTACTAGGTTAAATCTATGTATATTCAACTTATCAAACTGAAGAATGTTGCTTATCCCTAAAGATCTTTATCTGGACAGGTATGCTATACACTTGTTAAAAATCTGAGGAAAAAAAGTCTAAGGCCCCATGTCCATAGACGCCACTGGATTACATGGATCATCCCGACTCTGCAGATACTCTCTCTGCCTGCAATCAGCTTAACTGAATAACACACCTCTTTCTGGCGCTAAGTAGAATACAAAAGAAGCTGGTGATTATATGAGTACCTTGGAAATAAGAGAAGGGCTGTCATTCAGTTACATTGGAAATAAGAGAAGGGCTGTCATTCAGTTACAGGGTAAGCTACAACGTTAACACTTAGCGAAAGTCTCTGCACACTTGGGTGGATCCACTTAGACCTATTGGAATGGGGTCTAAATATACAATATCTTGGTACTAGGAAGCTTAAAATTTGCATTTTTTTTAAAGAAGGTATTTTTATTAAATGTGATAACTGCAAAATTCAGGAGGCTGCATTTATCAATTCTCACAATTGATTTATAAAACTTTAAAAAAATAAAGTTTAAAAATGAGTAATTGCTCATTTGGTACTGAAGCTCACCATTTAAATTTATGCTGATGTAAAAACATCGCAAATAAATTTTTAATAAAAATTATAAAAAATCAAAATATAGAAATGTCTTACTTTCATATAAGTAAAAAGAAATAGTTTGTCATCCTAAAAAGCAGTAATGTACTAAAATTCACCATAATAGTTTGAAACAGAAATTCCATTAATATAGACACTGCTTATACTTGTTTCAAACAGAGTTTATCAATCCCACAACCAGAGTCTCACTGTATGTTTAGTGAAGTACAAACTGTCATTTTTAATCTAAAATCTCTGTAAAGTAGCAAGTTCTCTCTCCAATTCTTCCGTTTCTACTCTCGTGGTACACACTTCTGCTTGGAGTCTTTTTATTTTACCTGAATAAAAACAGTGCATGTTGGCATGGAAATATATGGAAATTTACCCATAGTAAAATCGAGTTTTACCCATAGTAAAATCATGGATTTGACAGCAACAACTTATTTCATCCAAAACAAAGAACTATGTATGTATACAAAAAACAAACAAAAAAAAAAGTTGTGAACTGCCCCTTTTTCTTTCTATTTTTTCATCATAAATAAATGAAATTGAGCTGCATTAAACACAGCATTCACTGAAATAATAAAAATATAAAAAAAACATTTTTTTGATGATTATAATATCATTGCACCTGATGAAATTTTTTCAGTACCTTCAACAAAAGTGCACCTCTCTGTCATTTTCTTCATGGCTCTTTTGAACAATTTCTGTGACTTGAACAGTAAAGCTAGGGCTGACTCATCACCACCATCATCATCATCTTTTTCTTTGTTTTCTAAATATAAAAAGATATAAACAAGTTTCAAATACTAGCGAAATTTTGCATTCATCATATGCTGACAACAAGACGACTTGTATGTTTTTCTGTTTCACCAAGAAGTCATTTTACTATACTAGTATACATATATAATTAAAAAAAACAAAAACATACTTCAAGCTTTGACTTAGCAAACTCTATATACAAGTTTTAAAATATTGTTAGATTTTCTATTGCAACTTAGGTCATGTTTGATATTGTTCTAAAAACAATACAGTTTAATGCACAGGGGCTTCAAAAAATAAAAAATATTAATGTAAAAGCTTGATGTAAGGGCCAAGTTATTAAAATATCACAGAAAGCAATGTACTAAATGTTTCCTTTGCAACAAAATGGAAATTATCAAACAAAATTATCTACCTGCAATAGCACATAAGTGATTGTACTTCATTTCCATTCTGTTCTTCTTGCCACCATTGCAGTGAACTGTTTTATCACTGTTTTTTGACACTTCAGTTCCATTGTGATTGACATCAGTCCCATTTTGATCAATTTCAGTCCTAGGGTTTTCAGTGAATAAGGTGTTAATATTGGTTCTACATGTAGTTTCAGGAACATTTGTTTCATCAACTGCTGGAGATTCAGTTGGATTGTTTACTTTGGGATTTTCAGCATGAAGTCTTTCAGAGGACAGTAATCTCACTAAAGTTTCAGTTGTACATGTACTGGTATGTTCTCCACAAGAATCACCCTGATTAGATGTTGTGGAGTCAGTTTTAACATATATCCCAGTCTCGGTGTTAGCACTGCTAATGCTACTTATATTCAGAGGACTAGTCCCAGCACTTATGTCACCCTGATGTTGAGAACCTTCATCAGATAAGGTTTTTTCTTCAGATTTAATTTTCAGGGTTTCATTTTCACATTCACAAATCCCAGGCATTGACTCCAATGCACTGACAGTGGTATTGGATGACCTGGGTTTTCCTGAAGCATCTTTGTTTTCTCTTGTATTCTCTATCTGAAGATCTGAGGAAGAGGTAACATTGTCATTATGGGAAAGGGCAGTTTGTTGTTCTTGAAGGTTCTCAGTCTCAAATTCTCTATCTCTAAAATGTACATGTTCCTCTGAGGTATTGCTGCAGAAGTTTTCTCTTATGTGTGTAAAACTTTCAGAAGCAGCATTCCCACTTACACCTATCAGATTCTGGATACCCATATTCTCACAGTGTTTTGGAGCATACTCAGGATTTTGATTGGTATCAGAACTTGAGCCTTCTTTCTGTGTTGACTGGAAATTTCCCCAGCTCGTATAGTTTGCATCATGGTAATTAACAGATCTTACAAGTCTATCTCCCTGTGACTGGCAGGAAACTGAAGGCATGGGTGGCAATTGCAAAGATGTCATGTTAAATTCTACACTAACCCTTGGTACATTCACCAATGATCTCAGTGGGAAAGGAATGGAACCTGGAAATGTTGGCAAAGGCACAAATGGCACACAGTTAGGGTTTGGCATATTTAATGGAAGTCTGGTACCTCTTGAATATAAAGAAAGACAGTGTCCCCTCAGTTGTGGTTCAGTTGCAGGTCTATTAACAGGAAGACAATGGCCCATTGTTGAAAACGGTAAAGGAAGAGGAAGATATCCAGCACCTGGCATAGAGGCAGGAAGATACCTTAGCACTGGTGGTCTTTGTGCGACTGGTACAAAATTTGGATCTGTAGGGTTCCATGAAGTGTATTGGCCATTTCCCCCTTTCAAAGGGGAAGTAAAGCCCCATACTGGGTGATGTTGCCAATATCCCTGAAGAGATGTAGTTTGTACTCCAGGTTGTCTATTTGTAGGGTTCAAAGCTGAAGTAATGTGGTTTCCTGGTGTTAAAGTGGCAGTAGTGCTCCCTACAAGATGGGTTTGCCCAGGTGGCCGCAGAGAGGCTGGCAATGGAAGATGTTTTTCATGTCCACTTGGAGGATTCCATGTTGACAGAATGTGGTCATTTCCTGGTGTAAAACTGGAAGTAGTGGCCCATACTGAATGAGGTTGTCCAGAAACTGTCACAGAGGAAACCAATTTTAATGACTGCATGTTACCTGAGGCATAACTATTATTAGGATTAACCAAAGGTGACTGAGGTGGTTCTTTACTCGGCAAAAAGGTGCCTGAAACATTATCCAAATTGGGAAGTGGTTGTCTTTCACATGCAACAAACGAGGGAGTACTTCTCATTGCTGGAAGAGGTTCATCAACTGATACAATAGATAAGGGCTTTCCATTACTGGGAGCATAGGCTAGAAAAGAATTCTCCAATTTCTCTTGCTTTGGCCTCAGTATAATGGAGCCCTCAATGTTGCTTTTGATTTCATTATTAATTGGTTTCAAATATGCTTTGCAAATTCTCTTGGGGATGCCAGTTATGTTATTATCTGTTTGAGTTCCAACTGCCACCAACAATGAACCATCTTCACAATTCTCATCTGCAGAGCTTTCTAATGTCCAACTCAAGTGTGAATCAACTTCGTCAGCAACCACTGCTTCACTTGTCTTGACCAAATCTGTCTGGTCTTCTGCTACTGTTGGCTGCCCATGGTCACTAACCTGACAACATGACATTGGTTTATGAAGTCCTGTAGTACATTCTCCTTCAATATTCTTAGAAAATGACTCTTGATCTATTTGAACATCATGTGACAAACCCTCACTTTCTTCCTGACCACCAGTTGACCCTTTGTTAACAGGATATGGCAAAGTCTCGTCCAAAGAATTTGGCACAGGTGCATTTTGCAGGACTGATTTTACTTTTCTCAGATGTGTAATGTCTTCATGTACTAGTAGTTTTCTTATTTTACATCTGGTAGGAAAATCATCTTCCAAGACAGATGAAACATCCTTTGAAGCTGGTGATGGTGAAGGTGTAACACTGGTATCTTCCTTGTCCCGTAATTGCCTCTTCAATACAAGTTTGTCATTTACAATCTCTGATGTGTGTTTAGAATGAACTGATGTTGGGAAAGATTTTCTTCTCTTCCGGGGTGGCATGTGGCGTGGACTATTACCACATTTCTCTGATAGCCTTTTCTGTTTTAATTTTTCATGAGAAAATCTACTTACAGGAAAAAGGCTGTAAAAGGAATCATTTTGTCCTTTGAGCAAAAAGTCAATTTGGTTTTGTGAATAATCCTTGCTTTCTATCTGAACATTTTTATCTGTACTGGATTGATCTTGATCCACAACTTGCTCAGAATTATGTTCACCCATGTTTCTTTTCTCTTCTGCTGAAGCATTTATCCATCCTCCTTCACATTTTGTGGACAAGCTGGACCCTATTTCTTTTGCACTGTCATGTCTAGAATATGACCCTAGGGGGGATCCACAGCAAGAAAGCAATGTATTTTTGTTTGTCTTAGATAAACATATCTTCTTGTGTTTAGAGTTAACCTTTGTATTTTGCCTCCTCCAAACATTTTCAAAGTATTCAACCAGTTTATCTGCATCTGACATTTCTATCAAGGCACAGGTTTCTGAGTGAAGAACAACACCAATGTGATGAGTACTGAACCACTCATTCAAATAATCAATACTTTCTTTCTTCATACGCTTACTTGTGATACAGAAGAAATCCACTTTGACCTTATAGAAGTCATCATTTTTTATGTGACCAAGAATTTTATTCTTGAACTGTGCAAGGAATAAATACTGTTTATCATCATGAGTCAAACAAAATAGTTTCTTCTGATAATAACAGATGGGCTGAATCTTCATTCTTGCTTGTCTTGAAAACCAGACCTAAAATTTCAAATAATCCATCATTAAAACATCTCACCTGTTCAAAATTGATGAACAATCTTGTAAACAATATAATTCAGACTGAGAACCAGGTCCAATAATGAAACAGGGCAGTCAAATGCACAGACATATTAATGACAAAACAAAAAGTGAGGAATATGCAGCCAATTTAACTATAATTTATAATTTTATATACAATATAAAAGCACATAAAAACAATGCCAATATTCCTTATCTTTCAGAAACCTGCTAAATGACATTTGGTGAGTTGTCCAATGCACACTAATACCAGGGCATTCAGTAACTCAGTGCGTACCTTAACTATATTTCAAAGGCACATTTGAAACGAAAAATATGCCAACATGTGTATATAGTTATGCAACTGTGACTCTTTGCATATGGTATTTTGAGTGTACTTCTTGTCTTATACAAAAAAGGCAAAATGTCTAGATATACTGCACCTACCACTCAGGATACTTCCACAACCATCTTTCAATCATATCCTAACCACTTTTAATGTAAAAGTGTAAGATAAAGTAAAATTCCAAAGGCTGCTAAGTGAAGGCTGCTAAACTTACAATTTTATGAATATATGACATTATTATTGACAGTACTGGAAACTTGCCCTTATAGGCTATTCACACTAGCACTTTGTCACCGTTATGCGGTAAACTCATATATCTGAAATAGAAAAATATAAATGTAAAGGGTCGGATTTTTACTTATCCGAACAATAGAGCGGATGCTTAACAGCGTATATCAGTGTGAACGCAAATAATCTTGGTTTAGGTGACCGCAATTCAATCGGAGTTAACTCAACCGCAGTTAACTTTCTAATGTGAATGGCCTAATAGTCTATGACAGCAACATTTACATGTACACAGTTAGGGAAAAAATATTAAAGGGATAATAACTCTTCGTATGAGGTCTATATTTCACAATAAAAACATTTAACTCACAGAAATATATTCTGTTTTACGACAAAAACAGCAGTTATAGCTATTATTCTGATATCTGAGCTTGTCTTCAGACCACGTGACCTCCACTGATGGCTATACTCTGTTATAATCTCTTAAGAGATTTTAACAAAAAACCAAACTTTTTAGAAAAAAAATAGGGACTAACTTTGAATGTAAAAATGGATTCATTAACCATTGGTAAGTATGGGAAAATTGTTGTTTACTCCAGGAAAATTCATTTTTTTGGCCAGAATGAAGAGTTAGGCTGTATTCCCAGAGCTTTTAGATCGATCTATCCCCGCAGGGAGTCTCACTATATTACTGTCAGATAATCCGGCTTAAATGTCCATCCGGCCTACTACAAGCTGTAAGGGGGTAATTAACTTTCGTGTCCGCTCGGCTGACAGCTATTTAGCGTGAACCCCCAGGGAGTCAGGTCAATCTAATTAAAACAGATCGATCTAATCTCTGGAAATGGGGTCTTAATTATTATATATCCCTTTAAAATGCCCGTAATATAACATTTTTTGTTTACAAAAATCTGCTCAGCCAAATTACACACTATACAGTATCATTAAACTATTTTGAAACTATTCGAAAATTCGCCAATGTCATGTCATAGACCTACATGCACAAAGCTACTAAATATTCAGACCTAATGTAGAACTGCGCGTTTGGGCGAATAAAACGTTTTATTTGCCCAAGAACTGCGAATCATTAAAAACGTTAAGTATAAGTTTCTACATAAGCATCACTTCACCTTAAATTAGATATTCTATAAAACTGCGGGTCTGGGATACTTAATTTGCGCCGTCATCCCGGGGTCGTCATCCCCACCGCTGCGTTCCCTGTAGATCTAGACTACGTATTACCAAGGAGTTATAACTCCTTGGTATTACACTGATGTGAACATTGTTCTACATTTGTTGCGGCCGAACGCTGAGAGCTTTTTAATAACTTGTTGAGTGGTGTTTAGTGTTGTTCAATGAAGTTTGAACGTAGTGAGAAACGTTCAGCGGGTCGACTCAACATTTCCTGTCGAGATAAGATGTCGAGAGGGTTTTCAACACCCCATTTGGTTTGGTCAAATTTAGCGCACGATGACGTCACATTGTGAACATGGCCGAAAGGGGTAAGCATGAAAGCAAAACTGCGTTAAAATTGTTCTTTAGGTCATGATTTAGTTATTTTTGCAAATAAAGAAGTTGTATTCAAGTATATGTGTGTCTCAACTTCATCTGAGACGGGACATACTGGAGCATTTACATTGACGGGAAACATAATTCATATACATTTGATGGAATACCTCAACAATATTGTTGTCGTTGCCCGTTGTTTTCTAGTGGCTTGGATATTAAGCACCCAATACGATTAATTTTTATAGATCTACCGGTAAAAGATAAAACGCTGTACTCAACACGCTTTGTTTGCTTATAATTAGTAAATATATTAGATGTATGAGAACGATCGTACGGCGGGGGTGCAGTGGAGAACATCTACTAGTGTGTGTATGAATGTTTATTGATCATAAAGAACCTTAACATACAAGGTACAGATCATCGATAGCGTACAAGCAAATATAAAATGGTCACAGAAATACAATACTAGATATNATAACACTACTAGCAATAATGACGCACAATTACAATGAGAAATAAATAAATAATTATATAGGTTATATATCCAGCTACAGTAGTTTTTATGTGTGTAGCATTTCGTTAACCCATACTATCTATCCATCCCGACTTTGCTAATGACACACAGGGATTATGTTAACTAGTGTTTTCTAGTGTGTGTGTGTGTGTGTGTACTGTGTAGGGTGGGATTTAACAGATAGACCATGGTGCTTTGATAGATCTACATGTAATAAGTAGTAATAGTAATACTAATGGTAATAAATTGCATTTAGCAGTAGCTCCCTTTTTAATGACCAGCCAGTTCATATATAACAGTTAAGCTGCTCATGACACACTTCCCTTACATGCACCTCTTGCAATGATTAGATACAGTACACAAACGACATCATATCATACAGTAAGTGACAGCTCCTTGATAATATTGTGGATCTTACTAAAGTGGGCATATGTGGTTCATATACCAATAAAGATGAACAATTTTCAAATATACTTTTAGTGCCGGAGGTAAAAACTGGAGAAAAGTTGAGTGCCACACAACGGGCTCGCATTGAAAGGAATCGCCAGAGAGCATTGTTACTGAAGCAATCTAGACTTACTAGTAGACCATACACAACTGGAAAAGAAGACAAGTAAGTTTTCTTTTTAGCTGTCCAGGACATTCATGTCAAGTTATTTTACCTCATATATTTGCAATGCTATAAATGATAAAATGATATCAGCTGAAATCTGAATGCATTGCTGTAGCTAGCACTTAGCAATTCTTTCTTCTAACGTTTGCATAAAGAATGGCTTATAAAAACTTATGGTGATTTAAAATGAAGTAAGTGGGAATTTTTGGCTTTTAATTACAGTGATGTCATTGGTAAGGTTAAAGTACCTGGTAAAGTGATTGACACTGGTGGAGGATTTCTTCTAGAGGAGGAGGACCAACAGGAAGCGGCCTCTACAGTCAAAATAGCACATCCTCCTGGTAAGACTTACACCAACAGTCTGCATTTAAATCAAACAATTTTTATCAAGGTTTTCCCAGCGAACCATCCAGCTGTCATTTTGACGGCTACTGACATCACTGGACTGTCAATAATTTCAAGGACTGCTGGATGGCTTAAGATATTTTTTTTTTTTTTGAAAAATGATGACTTGTACTCCCAGAAATTTTGTAGGATATGACACCTGTGATAATTTTGGATGGCTTGTTACCCCAAATCCTGGGAAAAGTCCTGGTTTTGATTTTTTTTTGTCCGACCAGACATGTCGGTCTCAAAGGTGTATGCCCTGGTGTAAAATCTGTAGGTATTGAAATTTACAAGAATGGATTCTTAAATGTAACAAAAATTTGATGTGTGACAATTTTGTACAATTGGAAACAGGAACGACTAAACCTTCTTTGCAAGGTTCTGGTAATCTCTTTCAGAGTTTTCTAAACTTGAGCAGAATATAGCTTGTCCTTTGTGTCTGGTTGAATTTAAGGCTGAATTGTACATGTCTGATTTCTTTTATCAGCTCCAGTGATAAGCACAGACCTCCTGATCTGCAATGAATGTAGTAAAGAGTTTATGGACTCATTCCTCTACAGTCATTTTGAAGAGTTTGTATGTGATAAATGCAGGTATCTCTGAAGTATTTTGTTCATTTGATTTTAATTATACAGATGATATAAATTGCATATTCTTGACTAAACTCAGAGTCATATGTACATGTTTGCGAGTTTTGAGGACTAGATCTGAAGGACTTCTTGTTGGGTAGATAATATATAAAGATTTAAAAAGTAAAAATGTTCAATTTACACTTTCTTATTGGAAAGAATGGTGTTCATATGACACTCATGAATGTGTACTTTGTTCCAGACCAAGTTATTTCATTTAATGTTGCAGGGATAATGAAGAAAAGCACAGCTTGATTACAAAAACAGATGCCAAAAACAAATATCTGTTGAAAGATGCAGACTTTGATAGAAGAGAACCCAGCTTGAGGTTTATTGTAAAAAAGAATCCCCATAATAATAGATGGGGAGAAATGAAATTGTATTTAGAATCTCAGGTAAGTTTCACACACTGATAAGCTTTATAAGGAACTAATCTTGGAATTTGGAAAATGATTTTGCCACCTGGCATAAATATTATCTATTTAGAAATGTGATTAAATTCAATACTGCCAAGAACATTGGTCATAGTACTCAATGTAATTTTCTTTTGTGTTGGGAAAATACCCTTTCATGAATTGTTTTCATTTAAGAAAGGCTAGTAAACTTGACCATGCAATCCCACAAGAAAGAACTTAAAAATTAATTATTTGGAACCTCGTTTATTCCACAGGTATATAAACGTGCAATGGAAGTATGGGGATCAGAAGAAAAAATAGAAGAAGCACAAGAAAGAAGAGCAGAAAATAGAGAGAAACAACAGCAGAAAAAGTTTGACAAGAAAGTGCAGGGTAAAAAATAATAAAAAAGCAATATATTCAAGTGCATGTAAATTTTGCAATTTTCCTATGAGATAGAAAATCCACAGTCACATTTCCAAAATTATCTCAAGTCAAGAATTTGTCTTTGTTTAGCCTACCTAGTCCTATTTAACCAAGTTGAGTTTCACAATGGATCTCAAATTATGCTTTTTGTCGAAAAAATAAAAACATTTATATGCTGACTTCGGCTTAATATAAGTTGGCATATTGGGTGAGGTAGTTAAGCCCAAAGTCTACAGTTGCAAACAACAAGGTTCCATGAATAGTATGTTGCTTTATATGATTCTTTGTCCAGCCTGTGTAATCAATTCTTGATACAGCCAATGGTTAATCCATAAAGGATATAAGTGCATTTTTCTTTTCAGCACTCAGAAAAGCAGTTCGCAGCAGTTTGTGGACCAAGGAGCTCGGAAACCATGAACATGAGTTTGGGGAAGAAGTTTATGATGAAGATAATGATACGTATAATAAAACATGTAAATCATGTGGGCACATTATGTCCTATGAGAAGATGTGATAACACGAGTTGTTATAATTATTACTGCAGATAGTTTATATATGTGTTGATGGGATGGCGAAGGCATCAGATATTGTAATGGACTGTCATGGCTTCCCACCCCCAACTGTAAGTGATGTTATTCATTGATCACTGCATTGCTTATAATGTCGGACAGTGGTGGCAATACCTCTGTGCCAAAAGCTGGGAGGTCAGGTCATTTCCATGGAGAATTGGAAACAAAAGTCTGGTAGTGCTAAGAGGAATACAATTTGCAAGAAAACCAGCTACAAATGTTGCAGATTGTTATTGCGCACCATTCGTGGTGATTCTAAGAAAGCAAAGAAAGTTATGAAAGATTTTAATGTACAGGTATTTGTTTAAGAGCTTTTGTCCAGTTTTTCTGTAAGGAATCATTTTACATAATGCTGTGGACTTGATTTGCGTTGGATGCACAGGCCACTTATACAGTATTATTGCTCATATGCAACAACTTCAGCTGTCACCCCCTACATTAAGCAGGGTCAACAGCACCACAAAATTTTTCCTAGGAAAATAATCAAAATAATGGCACCAGTAAGGCTACACAGGAACCTGTTGATCAAGAAATTTATTCCACAATTAAAGCAGGTGGCAATACATATACATTTGTAACAAATTTAGCAAGAAAAAGCTGTAATTGTATTATGTTGGGTGATTACGCTTGGCATTACTGTAACAACATAAATGGACAATGTTGTTAGGTGGTCATAAAAGAACTTTGAAATTATTACTTTTCACAAAAGAATTTATATTTAAAATCTTGTGAACCAATGATTTTGAGAAACCAATTGTCTTGCTTATTATGATTATGCAAGAACTGATAATATTTATTTGAATTTGACTGTAATGTCACTGACCTATTATATATGAAATTATGGTTTTAATATTGAAATTCCTGCCAATTTTTTCTTTGATCATTTAATTGAAGATTTGCACACATTCCTCATATGTTGAAAAAGGTTCATATTTGTATGGGGAAATAACAATTGTTTGAATCATTGGCAAGAATTTTTCTTGTCTTAATCTAAGATTCTTTCAGGAGTTTTCCAAGAGTAAAAACGAACATTAAATAAGTAAATCGACATTTCAGACATGCACTCATATCAGCGAACTTAGTATGACAGAATGTTGTGAAAGTTGTTCTTAAACATTAAAATATATCTTTAGGTCTACTCCAGATGTCCATTTCATTGCTCGGACAGCTGCTTTTACTTGCAGGCCATAGAGTTAAAATCGGAGAAAATTTAGAGACATGCACACAACCATGTCAAACTTTTATGTGCAATCAATGATTAAACAAATATTTAGCGCAAAATGTTGGTGCTGATGTCTCCAAGCAAATTCCATCAAATTTAATTTAATCTTGACTGGACTGAACAATTTGGAATTATCACAAAATAGTTCAAAATGTTATTTGGTACTCAGGGTAAGCCTGACTATCATGAAAAATGACAAAAACTGACGGACTGCCAGTATTGTTCACAACAGAGTCATAATCTGTGACATTGTCGGGTTTCTTGGGAGCAACCTGCATTGATGAACTACCCCCAGTATAATCTCCAGTGAGAACTCTTGCTTGGTACATGATTCTTCCACCTGTCCCACCTCTGGCATATCCAATAGAAGTTTGAGAATCAGTGGCAAAGTAAACGCCTGCTCCCAATGCTGTGCCTAGAAAGGGAGTGAATTTAAATGGGATTTTCATGTTAAAACTATCAAATAATATCGATAATTATATATTCTTTACAAAAAAATCCCTTCAGAAAGTCTAATGCAAATTATCACTTTGATTAATGTTAAATAAGCAACACATGTTGGATGAAATTTATTTTGAAATACTGGAATTTACAGTGTTTATTTTTAAATTCATGCATTTACTATTTTGCTTATTCCTTTTTTTTTTTTTTTGCATATTGAAATGAATTGCTGTATAATTTTATCCTACCATTCTTTCCGCAGTAACTTCTGTTGAAACCATTATGGTTGATGAACTTTGTACTGTTGGTATCTGTTCCATGATAGCATATGTGTTCAATAACTTTTCCAGGTAACCTCTTCTTCATCTCCTCCCTCTTGGCTATGTAAGGCAGGTAAAGTTTTGGATTCTGGATGCGCTCAATCTAAATGGAAAATGTGCAATTTATATAATATATTCAGTAATCATAGCTAAAAAAAAGCATTTTGTAGATGATAGGTAATTTTATCCACTACTGAACTGGACAGGGCAAGTGGTTCTACAGCAGCCAGTACACATATGACATACTTGACAATAAATGGCTAAGCAGATAAAAATTTAACAAGGCAGCAAAGTTGTCAAAAGTACAGACAAAAAAGCAGAAAATAAAGATCCACAAAAGAACGTTATTTTTCCAATTTAGGTGCAATAAAGCGATGCTTAACAGCAATGTCAATGCCAAATATGAATTATGTACAACAGGGAACATGGATGTTACTGTTAGGAACACTTTTCCGTGTGGTATGCCTATTGCATAAAGTATTATAAATGCCGAAAAAAACTCAAATAACAGGATAACTACAAGAAAAATAGATCATGTGGGTTTTCAAACCCAACCTTTATCTAAGCCACATTCATCAGTCCTGTACATTTGAAGACAATAAGCCAATTGGTTTTCCTAAAAATATGTTATCTGTATTGCATACAGTATAATATGTGCTGAATGAAATACATTACTTCAAGACAAGCTGGTTTTCCAATTTGAGGTATCTGTCAATCCTAAGAATCATTCTTTTAAGTTACAAAATGATAAGTAATTTTTCCTTTCAAAGGGTTTGTGGTTGCAGTGCACAAAGTAAGTTTGTTTTTTTTTTTTTGTAAACTTTGATGCAATACTATGTAATGATTAACTATATATAAGATCATGTTTATTTGTTATGAGACCTACTTTCTGAGGAGATACTCCACTCCCAGTGGCCTTGAATTTCTTTTCCACCTCTTGATACTCTGCTGAGGAGGAGTTCAGGGGAACAAGAATGACACTGGTATCTTTTGGCATGGGACTCCAATGACGTGGCAGAGCAAAGTTCCCACTAGCTGAATGAATAAATAAATTGATACAGCAACAGAGAGAGTCTCTTTTGACTGAAAACTGTTACAAAGGGTTGCAATATAAATAAGAGAATGAAAACCTTTTAATAAAACTGAAAATGCATCCTCAAAGAAAACATTTCATGGAATGCAATACCTTTCAAATCCTTTCTTGTAACAACTTCACTCTTTCCACCTTGGCAGCAGACTTGCATGTTACTGAAATCTAGCTTGAATTTCCTTCCTTTTTCTGAATATTCATACTCCTGTCTCTTTTTCTTATAAGCTTCTTCAATTTCTGCATTTCTAAATGGGTCGTAACTATATTCTTTGTCCTTATAGAAGAAGGTCCACTGGATGTCTTTCAATTTTGCAGCATTAATCACTTTCTGGTTTTGTTTTTTTGCAATTTCATCAAGCATCTTCTGCACCACATCTTGGACTTTAAGGACATCAGAAGGTCTACCTCTGAGCTTCATTACTTTGCTACGAGAACGCTCATCAATTACCTCCACAGCAGCATCTTTAGCTACATCTGTGATCTTTTTCATCTAAAAATAAAAGAAACATGTGACACATCAAGGAAATTCATCCAAAAATTTATATATTCATAAAGCTGAAGCTGAGAAATGTGCAACCAATTGCCAGTATCAATACTGAGTTGGTGACAGCACACGTGTATCTCCAGGATGCAAATAGGCTGTGTGGTATTTCCTGATGAACATAAAGATACACATCAGGTTCCAGATCTACTTTACCATTTTGAAAACAATATTCCTCAGGTCAAAAGAATCTGAAAAATGCAACAAATTCATATACTAGTCTGTATTTAACAGATATCACATTCGATTTCTGGGTTTACTGCAGAAGACGAAAGTTTTTTTGAAAAATACAGTGTCTACAAAGCCAACATTTTTAAAACCTAAAAGTTGAATTACGTAATGAAAATAACACAAAAACAGATATACTGAGACGAAATATTTTAAAATACCTTTGATTAAAATGAAATTTAACTCTTAAAATGGCTTTAGTGCACCTGTTTTTTAAAAAGGTATATATTAGTATAATTTTATATCATGCAACTATTCTACCTGGTCTCCAGAAAGTTTTCCAATGTTATCATTCTCAATGGACTTTGTAAGTATCTCTTTTTCTGCCAATTTTTTAATTTCATCTTTGAAATTGTTCAAATCATCTCTTCTTGTGTAATAAATATCAAGTGACAATGCCATTGTTCTTTTTCTCTGGAACTTGGAGCCTGAAACAAGAATCCTTTCTACTGAAAGCTGATCATTATATTGAAAATCACATCAGTTTCATTTAAATGAACTATATGCCTTCCTTCAGTTCATTGCAAGTGTTGTGATCGATCGAAATTTTAAAAGGGTCTCTGGATGACAAGTTACACAATCATTTATGCTATTTTCAAGCAGTTTCTTCAAACAAAATAAGTTGGAGTCATAATACCTCATATTTTTGCACTTCATGTAATGTAATGCAGCACATAAAATGAACTTCATATAATATAATATTCAACTCTCCTATTGGTATACCTCCTTTCTCACTTTGCTCTTGCCTTCTACTGTTACCACTAAGTTTTGTCTTCATAGAATCTTGGAACACTTCAAGAAGTTCCACCTGGTGGAGAGTAATGCGGACTAGCTCCACAAATCTGGGTTTATGTCGGGAAAAGAAGTCTGCAATACCATCCAGCATGCTATCTGCAATTGCCTGGGGACTGTGATGCATTGCACCTAAAATGGACATGTCCAGAGTTGTTTACCCTCCTTTACTTGCATATCTTACTGGGGTGAACTATATTCCTATACTTGTAACTGTTTTTAAATTATTGTTGTTACCTCTGGTAATTTTTATTAAGATGCAATTATCTGATGAAGATTGTTTTGCTTGATACTTATCAGGAATTGCCTATAATAGTATATAGTCCATGAAAAAGCTTTTGAAATTATATGTATTACTGCATTATTAACTTGCCATACCACTCATTATGGATTGTTCAGAGCTGGATTTTTTGTTTTTAATTCCCCCAAGTAAAATACATCATAAAATATTTTGCACTTCTTACAGAACTTACCAGTTCCAAAAGCTGGCATGGCTACAGTCTTGAACTTCTTGTTTTCTGCCAGAGCCAAGCAGCCACAGACAGCCTTCCTCCAGTTTTGATGGAAATGTCTCCCATCCATGTGTATAATACTCTTACATTTCATTCTTCCTGCTGTTGTGACTGCAAAACCATCGGTTGTTTGGCCTGAAGAATCAAAGCACAAAAAAGTTAAATGGTGTGTCGTATCAAATTTGATGGATCTGATGATGTAAAATTTCATTTTCTTTGGCTGACATATCATGTATTACTATTTCTTTCAATGCAAGAATACTCTCTCAATAATCTATAACAAATTATAACAAATCTTATCAAACTTACTTACATGTATGTCACCTATTCATCCCGTGTTAACCACTGTCAACTTTTAAAAACATTGAATTACCCATACCTGCTTTTTTACATGCATCCTCTACTTCTTTGCCTCCAGCTCTCTTGATTGCCTTGGAAACACCACCTAAAAGTAAACATTAATCATACACATATTCCATATATTAAGACTCATTAATCAAAACAATAAAGTCCATTGTTGAAAAAAAAAAGCAAGAACACATATATAAATGTTATATATCCACAGCATAATTACCTTTTAGGACCATTATATGGAGGATACTTCTATATAGTAGAAGTAATTACAAGTAACAGATAGAGTAATTTGAACAAATTTATTTATCTCCCAAACCAGTATCTTACTAGGTATGCCTTAAAAAGATGATTCGGAAGTTTTGAAAAGGGTGCAGTTTTTTTTTGGTTAAAAAGTACACTTTATGTTTATTACCAAAAATTATGATATTTGTTAAAAAATCAACAAAAAATACAGTGTTTGAAATTTGAGTACCTATGTTATTCAGTAAAACTGTTAACCTTACACTCACCAGCATCCAAATTAAGTTTGTCATTGGTACTATTAACGACAACATCCACATCTTCTTTTGTTAAGTCACCCTGTTGAACCTGAACTTTTATCTTTCCAACCTTCATTTGACAATAACCTCTGCTATTCTGACTGAAGTTGCTGAATATGGAAGCTGATAAATGATGAAAAACATTAAGCTGATTACATGTACATACATACGCAATTAAATGTTTACAATCTTTTTTTATACATCTTAATTTGTCATTATTTTAAATATTCAGTATTTTTAGAGTTGCTGACTTCAAAGTATTTAGCTACATGTAGTTTAGCAAACAGTTAGAAAACAGCTATTGTTCAAAAATTCAAAAAATTTTTGTCAAGAAAGCTCAGGATTCTTAATTTGGTTTGATAAAGAAACTTCTAACTTTAGAGATTAAAATAACATTATGTGATACCATAGATCAAATATATAATCAATTAATAAATCAAAGGGGTATATTTTGCAGAACATTTTTGCAGATTTTGGCATGCAGACAAATTTAATAGTGTAGGC